TTTTCCTCTGGTAGCCCATACAGCCTTAGAGACCATCTCCGCCTGTATCTTTCAGTCTCAGTGAGCCGAATTTCCATGAGTTTTATAGTTTTTTCATTACTGTTGCAGAGCTCAGATAACTTTTTGTTGTCATTTTTCAAAGCTTCGATTTGGGCGAAGGCAAAATTCATGGAGGTTTTCAGCTCTTCGATGCCTGACTTGTTGTCTCTTACCATCAGTTCCAGGTTATCAGCTCTCTGGTTAACTGCAGCTAGAATGTTAGCCTGAATATCCTCCAGGGACAAGTCGCTCTTTTCTTTCCTTTTTACTTTGAAGGCAGGGCTGGAAGAGGGGCTACCAACCGGTGTAGCAGCCTCCGAGTCCGTTGAAAAGTCGTCGTCCATTTTCCCGCCGTTTTTTTTCTTTTTGGCTAGCAAGGTAGTTGTGGTCCGTTAGCTTCAGCACTTGAGCTCTGTCTTTGCGTTTCTGTTTCCTATTTTGCTTTTGTTCGGACATACTATGGCGAAAGAACTTTTCCGACAGCAATAATGTAGTTCCACCGTCGTTAACAGCAAAGTTGGGAGGACAGAAAACTGTTATTAAGCAAACCGCTCTGTGGATGCGACTGAGCGCTGCTCCGCCATCACCGGAATGATCTTTGATATTACTGTACTGAAATCATAGGCTACGTTTACTGCACCGTCTGGTGTTCACCTGGCTATGAACTGAGACTTGATAAATCATATTCCATATTTGTATATTAAGGTTGCTTTGTTCTTATTTTCTCTGTTCTGTAAAGTGTCTTTGAGCACTGTGTAAAGTGCTATATAAATATAATGTATTATGTTTTTATTACCAAACAGAGAAAGATCTCTAAAGCCATCGCACTTTATATGCTCATTATATTCAAGTAAATCAAGGACAAGGCGAACATTATTGTGTATTGATCTACCTCTCATAAATCCTGAATTAGTGTCACTTATTATTTGAGGAAGACCGTTTTTAAGACGATCTGAAAATATGGGTGTTAGTAATTTATAATCATTGTTTAATAGTGTAATCGGTCTCCAATTGTCCAAGAATTTGGGATCTTTGTTTGGTTTTGGAATTAGAACAATTACACCTTGCCTCATGGTCTGTGGAAGTGAGTGGTTGTTTAAAAATTCTTTAAGTGTTTCAAATAAAAGTACTTTGATATGCTCCCAGAAATGTTTATAAAAGTTGGCTGTGAGGCCATCTGGGCCAGGGGAGCGGTCTGAAGTCAAACATTGCAATGCCTTTTCAAGCTCATTATAGGTGATCTCTGACTCACATGTGATTTGGAAGTCCTCATTTATTTGGGGAATAAAACCTCTGATTTGGTTAAAGAAGGCATCTGTTGCATCAGCTGAGAATCTAGAAGAATATAATTTGCTGTAAAAGGAATAAACTTCATTGGTTATAGTTTTAGGATCAGAGCATTCATTTTCATTAATGACCAGTGTAACTATGTTATTTCTTTCCTGGTGGGTTGTCTCTAATCTACAGAAATAAGAAGAGTTTCTCTCTCTTTCTTTGATCCACTTTGCTCTGGATCTGATGAAGGCTCCATTTGCTTTTCTTGTATATATATTATCTAATTTGGTTTGTAGTGTAAGTAGTTTCCTTTTGTCAGTATCCATAAGTGTGGGTTTATTACAGCAGAGACTTATCTCTCTTGTCAAATTGGTCTCACGCAGATTGTTGCAATTGTTTACTGAAAGAAATTGAAAAGTTTCTTATTTTGAATTTTAAGTATTCCCATTCAGAGCTATAAGACAGAAGGTTGGGGTCTTGAGTAATTTCATAAATTGTCTTTAATCCCATGGCAATACAATTGGGACTGTAACAAGCTGGCATTGGGTTTCCAGTAACGCCTTGTTTCGTTTGTGATTATTACTGGGTTTTAAGGTGAGATTAATAAAGCAGTGGTCAGATAGGGGAGCAGAAGATATAGAGCAGTCAGATACTAAGTCTTTTACACTGTCAGAGATTAACCAAAAGTCAATCCTTGATTTGATTGAACCATCCGGTTTAAACCAAGAGAATGTGAACATAAGGCAACGTCCCCTTGAAAACAGTCAACTTGGAAGTCCTTTGTAGGAATTTAAACAAGTGTCTTCACGTTAGACAGTGAAGAGTTAGTGAACCGTGTGGCTAAGGAGCCACAATTCTTTTCCCATTTATGTATCCAGATGGGCCCTTGAAGTAGGCCCGCTGACCTGCTTCTCTGGCCTGCTTAATCTGAGGCCACACCACTGCTCTTGCCTCCCGGTCAGCTGGTAGAATGTGCTCGGTGAAACTTACATTCAGCTCCTTGCACACTGCAGATCTCTTGGTCAGACGCCAGAGCTGATCTCGGTAGTGCCGCATGGTGAACTGCATTATCACTTGCCGATGCTTAGCTTCCTCTCTTTTGCCCAGGCGGTGCACGCAGTTGACGATACCGTCCATCTTGTCAGCCCAATGCGGAGCGATTTTGAGTAGGATCTGTAACAACCTCTCTCTCGTGTTTTCATTTTCTTGCTCTTTCATCCCACGCAGTTTCAGATTCCAGCGCCGTTTGTAACGCTCTAGTTCCAGGTCTCTCTCGTAAAGCGACGTTCTCTGTCCCGAACTTTTTCATCTCCTTTTCCAAAGCGTGAGTTTTGGATTGGCAGTCCAAAGTATTTCTTTGGAGCTTTAGGCACATACCCTGTGATGATTAGGGTAAGAGGAATATACTTCGGGGGGCTGTCAGGAATAGTTAGCTAGCTAGCTACGGTTAGCTCCCCCAGGCCCAGTCACACAGACCACTGCAGCCAACACAGCAGATGTGTCCAGCAACAACTGATAATGTTTGTACCGTTGTTAATTTGTCATTAAATTCTCAGTAATATTAAGTTTTAACCTAAATCGAGACACATCTGGCTCGTGATGTTACATTACAGAATATTCTTGGTTTGTGAAACTTAAAATCACTTTGGAAGAAATAAAATATACAACAGTGGTATGAACATTTCTTTATTATTATCATTAGGCTATTATCAACATTTGCAGGAATTATAGTATAAATATACTATATTAATAATATAATTATAGTATAGTAAATATTAACACATAACGCACACTGATTACTACGTTGACAATTGACACCTCTTTTTTAACGGCTCTTTTTTTTATTTAACAACTATGCATGGGCCGAGCAGTCGAGATAAACATCATCACGTTTTGTGCACGGTGGCTTCTGGGACAAACCATATATGGAAGTCCAACTTCCGTCACGTTTGTCTCCGGTCTGCAGCTGGACCTATGAGCTGGACCCTTCTCGTCGATAGGGCGTCTATCTCTGTATATGTCTATGGTTATAATCACTCTGCCTGTTTTACATTTATTGTCCACTTGATAGCACAGTAGAGCAAATGAAGCACCGTTAAGCTTTGGCCCATGAGTGAGCCAATTGGATGGAAAGCTTCAATGCTTCACGAAGCTTCATCTCGCCATCACTAGTGAGAGGTGTTACCCAATCAACTGCAACACATTTGGAAACACAGCTGTGGTTAAAAATGCAGTAAAAATCCGTTTAAAAATATATGTTTCGCTGAATTCAGCCTATGGTGACGTGAAGGTCCTCCAGTCGCGCTCACGCTACGCCCCCTTCATATTTCAGCATCATTTAGCGCCAAAATTTTGTGACGTATGAAGGTTGGACGTCATCGGTCACGTGGAATATCATGTATATAAAAGCGGCAACATACGCTTTGTGAGAGTAAAACAAGCGTCAATGTTGCGTATCAAAGGTCACTTCATTGGACTGTGGTAAGTCTCCCCTACATATTAAACCATTGTTTTGTATTTTAACGTTAACCGAAGCAGTGTTGTAGAATAACTTGATATTGATGTTCGCCATAAACTACAACTGGCTGGTTTTATCTTTAAACATCAATTACGAAGGGTTAAGTTAACTTGACCGGGTTGATGGCTAGCTTAAATGTGGCATTAAATTGAGAAGCTAAGTGACTTACTAGTTAATGTCAAACTAGACCGTGTTGGCAAGAGGTAACGTTAACGTTGTCATCGTGGAAGAGTTATTTTGTTGTAATATTTGGAATCTTCCATATATCAGTTAAGTCCACGTGTGAGGAGTTGGCTAACATTAAACAAGCTAACTTTTAGCTTGATGTACTGTAGATTTACCTGGCGAACAATTCACTGCAGTGAAGCCAGCCCTCGCGCTGTTTTGCGATAGGTGTTTTTTCTAGGCATTAACATAAAATAAAAGACAAAATAAAAGTGAGCTTCTGCTGAACATAATGCAGTTGACCCTTCGCTAAGCCCCGCCCCCCACTTAACTGTTGCTAAGTTCCCTGCATTGACTGGGATATTTTGAAGCACCCTGAAGCACTGTGCTGATCAGCTGTCTCCGGTGTTCACAGATATTTTTAACACCTCACTGGAGACATGCCATGTGCCAGCCTGCTTCAAAGCCTCCACTATCATCCCCGTCCCCAATAAACCAAGGACCACTGGACTGCCCAAGACAATGATGGTGCACTTCTTCACTGCCTTCATTGAGTCCCTCCTCACCTCCTCCATCACCATCTGGTACGCTGCTGACCACGGAGGTCAACACCGTCAGAGCAAATAGGGATGCAAACTAACGTTAGTCCTTTTTAAGCTAATGAGATTATTCTTTTGGATTTTGTTGTACAAATGAAATGCTTGACTATTTATGTTGATTTCTACAAATGTATAAAGCAGTAAATAGAGACACAAAAGGCAAACATGAATAATCCTATCTGTAATTATTCTAAGGTCATGTGTTTTCCTGCCATTATAAGGTGGTGAGGCTCAAAACTTGGTGCTGCACAATGAATGTAAAATCATCGTGGAGAGCATAAAAACTATTTCCCCAGATCTAATGGTTATAATTCAACCCCAGTAGACTTATTTAGCAAGTTTTGTTTCCATCAGTTTCCACAAATATTTTCAGTGTTCTGAACTTAATTGGGTCTACAGTGCAGTTGTTTCTCGCATGATTTTCTTTATTAGAGGAACAGTTGTAAAGGGCAGTGTTTAAGTCACTGGTACAGTTTATGAATTTTACTTGTCGCTGTAGGGAAGCGAGCCAGGGCGACAGTGATCACAAATCAGTTCATGTTTAAACATACGCTGATATTATTTCCAAGAGATTGTTATTGATTACAGCTGTTATTCACAAGATTCAACAATGGATAAATATGAAAGTTGTCATTCAACGTCACAATGAAGACAATCTTGTCACACTAATAAGACACTATCTTTGATAATCAAATATAACATCTGACTCAGTATCATCAAATGAATCACAGTTCAGGACTCTTCATTAAGCCTTTAAACTTCAGTACGAAACTTCAGTGTAGGATTCTTCATCTTCTGCTTGTAGTCCTCCTCGAACGGTTCATCCTGGGCCACAGTGAAATGGTTCTTCCAGTCACCAACTTTCCCTGGAGAAGCAGAGAGAATTATTCAGGCGATTTAAAATCAATCAGCGATACATGGTTTCTTTGCCAGTGGACATTTTTTAGTTTACCTTTTCTCATGAAAGGAGACACCCTGTGATTCATAACTGGGACAGAGGAATAGTTTGTCATTTTGTTTGCTTTCATGTTGTCAAACGTCACTCCATTTGTGACTCTTTCCTTCTCTTCAGCTGAAGGAGACAAGCCAAGGAAGGAACAGAGACGGTCTATCTCTCGTCCACAGTCCTGCAGAAAAAGTAACAATCTCAGCCTTGTGACAAATAAAATAAAATAAAAGATACATAGTTATCTTTCTGACCAACATCCAGACTTACAAAGATTATATTATGCTTATGAACACGTCTCTATACAAAACTGATGCTCCACCTGCTGGTTATGATGTGCACATGATTGACTCATGATGTCATGAAGTCTGGTCTGATTAATGGAAAACCAGTGGTGAGGGGGTGGGAACCTTCACTCTTCACTTTTGTCCACTTTCCGGCCTTGGCAGCAGCAGTTGGTGATTGTGACCTGTGTTATGTAGTCTTTGTTTTTTTTGACTGGTCCGGTAGTCCTGTTTTCTTGGCTTTGGTTAAGGTTGGTTTAGGGTAGAAGGAAGACTCCAGGGGCCTGTACCATGAAGCAGGATTTGAGCTTAACCAGATAACTTCAGGGTTAACCCTGGGTTTTCAGTCCCAAAATGGTTACCACAGTAGATTGCCTTGGTAACATGTTGAATGACTAACCTGCTTTGGAGCAGGTTATGTTCCAGATAAGAGATCAACTCTATAAATTAACCACCTACTGACCAATCAGCTCTTTTGGGAAATGACATCACCACCCGCAGGAAATCCCACACACTGTTTTATAGGCCGCTTTCATGTTTGCTGCGGTATAGCGATTTCATCCTAAAGAGACTGATTAAAGCACTAATGCCTTGTAGACTACTACTTGAAGGCTTTTAAGATATGACAATAAACCTACTTATGGCTTTTGAAATGTCTATATTTTTTATTTGCTTTCAAGTCTGTTTCACAAAGACTGTCACTGGCTGAATATCATGAGCATAGTTTGGTAGGCCTTTTGAAATTAAGTTTAATATGAATTTATTTTATGTTGGTAGCTATCTTGTATTATAGAGACTGGTCATGTACCACCCCACCTTTTACTATTTGGAGCGCAGGTAATGTGGGGGAGTTTTCAGTTAGACAAATTCAATAGCATACTCATATCTGTACAGAAATATGAAGCTGGAGCTAGGAGGCAGTTAGCTTAGCATAAAGACAGGAAACAGGAGGAAACAGCTAGCCTGGCTTTGTCCAGAGATATCAAGAATTTACCTCAACTAGCAACTCCAAAGCTCAAATAAAAAAATAATTGTTTAATTTGTACAAAAACTAAAATGTTTAAATGACACATCGCTGTCACAATGGCTGCTTCAGTTTGATTCAATTGTATTGCTTATTCTGCCCGTCTGCTCCATTCCTCCAAGCCCCTGCCTCTCTAAGCAACTTTTCATCCCACCATTCACAACCTCTCCACAAGATGTCAGTTTCCAGCCCTTCCCTGTCACCCAATCTTTACCTGCCCCTCATTTTCTCCAGTCAGCCAACCGGTCTATATACAGTGAACCAGCCCCTTCTACCTGAACCCAAAAAAACAAACACTCCTTAGCTTACCTCAATCAGGTCTTCATAGAACATGTAGTGAAGGTTTGAATATGTCTGTTTCTTCTCCCACCAGCCATTCACATGGTCATACCATGACCCAAATACCACTGAAGCCAAAGAATATATGAGGAGAGATTTTATAGTTGAGATGACATTGTGCCTCCTTTTTACATTAAAACTACTTTGAACTTACTCTTTCCCTCCATGAAATCCTTTAGAAACGTGCTCCAGTCACCTGGTTCTGGCTGGGTAATGTTCATGCGGTTAAAATGGAAATAGGACACTGCACTGTCCTTTGCATTACGAGCCACATAGATTATCTACGCAAAGAGAAAACACTCAATTATAAATTTATCTGCACTCTGGGGTTCATAACTCACATATTTCACAGACTAATGACTTTACCCTGCTGTTCTGCTCCCAGAAGGACTTGGGCACAAACTGGACTGGTAGATGAGTTTTAATGAGACGAGGAGTGGTGGGAAGCTGGTCTGCCAAGTCTTTACCTTTGTGAAGAGAAACATTAGTGAGACAAAAAGACTTGTTTAGATTCCTAAACAGCCAAAAAAGTTGTACAATAAATTGCTTCAGATACATTTTACTTGGCACGAGTTTACATACTGAAAATAACAATGATGAGTCAAATGTTAATGTGAAAACAATGTGACAATGTGAAAGGGGTCTTATGTAGCGATGGACATAGTGAGAGTTGCTCTCCTTGACATTACAGAGGCCCATTACTTCATTGTTTCACTATCATAGCGTTTGTGACTCCAGAAGAACAGCTGTTTTCACTGAAAAACCTAAAACTTACTGTACTACCTGCTCAACACCAGACAAAAAAAGTTCAGCAACTAGCTAAACAGTGTGAGAGTGTGGTAATAAGTACACAATCACCATAATAAAGAGATTAAGACGCAACATGCACTGTTGGTTTTTGTTTGTTTACAGTGTAAAGATCTGATTGGGCCCATGATTCAACCTGAGGGTCGAGAAGGTGCGCTGATCTCCAGAAACGGCACTCTTTCATGAATAGGAATGGACGCCTGGCGCTCTGGAAATGTCTGGCCAAAATACAGAAGATCCAGGATGTAAGAGACCCATGTGGTTCCTGAGATTAAAACACATGAGTACATTGGGTTCAGTGGCCTTAACATAGGGAACATATCAATCCAGGGCATTCAACATAAGTAAAACCATGATGCCACAAGTTCCATGCTCTTACTCACACATCCCCACCTGCTTTAGGGTAAGTAGCTATAAGAATATCATCTGGTCTGGCTTTGAAGTTCTGTATGCTGTCCCAGTTCTCAGTGACATGTTTGATCATGGAGACTCCATGGAAGTCAAACAATGTTGGACGAGGTGGCAGCTCCATCTGTGACATGTCTAAATCTAAATACGAATATGATATTTTGATTATAGACAACCTAAACAAATTAGTCAGTAATCATCTTGAATCTGTGTATCATTCATTCTTTTGATATTTAATACAGAATCCAAGATTGAATTAAAAAACAAATTGTTTTTCCTTAGCAAATTAATTTATGAATCCAAGTTATATACAAATAGCCTAAGTGCTTTTTTTGCCGTAGGCTACTTTGGATTTAAGTAAAAAAAAGACGTTTGAATTTGATATTTAATGTGTCCCATTTGTATAACCAAAGAATGTAATGAGTCCGTGGCGACCAACAGTTGTTTTTTTCAGTACAATTGACAAAGGCAGAGACCAGAAATCAGCTTGTTTTCTTTTTGTTTTTAACAACAAAAACGAATTCAGCACAATGTCTTGTTTTCCATTATTACTGACAGAACAAATTTAAAACTCAGTATTTCCTTTCGTTGGTGGATGGGACTTCATCAACCCCTTGCTTCTGATTGGATAGTGTGCTCTATCAGTTATGTTTGTGCTTCAGGCTACTCTTCAAAATTAAGGTTCTTCCAAAGAATTTCTATTACTGCTGTGGTTCTCCTTCTTTGCCTTAAAACGATGTAATGTATACACAAAAATATGCACTCCGTTGACAGTTTATTAAAAAACACTATTTAAATAATGCTATAAATCCCCCTTAATGATTAAGAGATTAACAGTTTAGACGAGGTGGCGATTCAACTGTATGATCATTTTGGAGCATGTTTGTGGTGCTGTTAAACTAATGAATTAAACAAAGGTGTTTCTGTTATTTAGTCTAGCCTAACAGATTAATAATTATTTTAGTAAATGCTGTGGACAGTAACGTGTTCTCAATATTATAAAGATCAATGTGGCATTGAACCAATTTTACAAAAAATGACCAGCAGGTGTCACACTGCACCTCCATCAGCTGTGATCACCTGGAGCCACTTGAGAAGCAGCTCCACTGAGTTAATTCTGCAGTGTTTACAGATTCATCCTACCTGATATGGTCTAATTAGGCATAGATTTATTTATGTCAAGACTACATTTGAACAATTCCCTGAGTAAGAGAAAGGGGTTTTGCACCTTTGTAGCCATAGATTATCATTTAGCACAATTATGTCTGAAGCGATCCATCCATACCGTTGAAAAATAGCCTTGATGGCAGATGCAAGCCAACAAGACTAAATAACCATATCATATATTATTAATTACTATTACCCTCATTTTATCAAATTTGCAAATAAAACAGCTGCTATAGCCAATCAGAAGCAAGGGTTGATGAAGTCCCACCCACAAATGAATATAAATTGAGCATAAAAAATTACATTTAATTACAATTTATTAATAAAAAACAAGACAAAAAAAATGCATTTCCCAAGGGCAAGTATTTATCTATCACTTGCTATCTGTCACTGCTTCTATTTATCATTTTTCTTTACATGTGCATTCATTCCACGTAAACCTACTCGCTGATGCTCGTTGTGTGCAAAGTATGGTGCACGCGTCTTCTCCAATTATGAAACTTTATAACCACAAACTGCTATTTTAATACAGGCTACTGAAAAATATGCAAAACACATATAAAAAACACATTGGTTTCAGCGTGACCGCTGACTGAACAGATAAGGCACCAGGATTAACTAAGCCTGGCTGTTAGCCTAGCGTGGAGCAGGCTAGCTGTACAGAATAAATCGCCATGCTAAATTATGTGCTACTGCTTTTGTGAAACCGAGTCAAGGCTTAATTCAGCCAAGATATCTGGAAAATCCCGGTTTAATCCGCTATCTTGGTTTTGTGAAACAGCCCTCTGATGTTCACTTACATAAATATGTACTTTTAGAGAGATAGCAAATTAAGGGTTTTTGCAGGTAAACAGCTGTATATTGCTCTTTGTACGATCTGTTTTAAGAAATGCGCTTGTCGTGGACATTGTATCTTGCTTGTGAGGGATTAAACAAATAACTGAGTAACAACCAACCGTTGTCTTTGAAGAATTTATCAATAAAAGAGAGTAAACAGAGAAGTGCAAAAACACATTTACAGCTGGTCCAGAGACCTGCTGCTGAGACAATGCATCTATTATTATTAACATCTATTATCTATTAGAAATTATCTGGTAGAGCCTTCATTTTAAAGAGTAGCAAAAACATAATTGATGGTGCACACCAGCCAATCTGAAGCAAAGAACTGATGAAGTCCCACCTACTAATAAAAATGAAAATGTTTAATTTGTTTTGCTAGTAATAAAAAAACTTTGTTTTCCATTCGTATTTTTATGTTTAGATAAAAAAAGAAGCGGTTTTTTTTTGTTTTTGGCCCAAAATTCAAAAAACTGTCTATTTCTGTTTTCTGTACCAAAACAAAAAATAAACATACCTTGGTCAAATGTGCTGGGAGTCATAGAATAATGTTGCATTTGCGTGCTCCTCGGATGGTCATGTCATGAGTTGGACTTCGGTCACGGTGTTCATGATGCTTAATGTAGGCGACTAGCGAACTCTAACGTAAAAGCACGTATCGTTAAACATTCATCAACGAGCAGCAAGTGCTGCCGTGGGGGTCTGGGTATCTCTGGATAATCCGTAAGTCGTTTGTAATACAAAAACGAAAATACCGTTTATGTGTTTTTTGTTTCAAAATGAAAAACCAAATAACCATTTTTGGTGACAGAATCAAAAATCGAAAAACCAATTCAAAACGGCACGTTTTTCGTTTTTGGCAATTTATTTTATTGTTATTCCTTTTCGAACAAAGTATGAAGAAAGTCTGTGAACTTCAGTCAATTCGTTTCTCGTTATAAACCAAAAACGGAAGTCACGTGGTCTATTCCTGTTTTGGAAGGGCTAGGAACCAGTAAAACCTTCAAAATAAAAGTAGCCCATGTACCATGTAGTTAGAAAAGTGATTATAGACTAAAACTAAACTAACGTTTTTTAGTAAAACTGAAGTAGCACTGGGTGTGAAAAAAACACTTTAGCTAACTGAAATAGAAACAATAATTAATAAAATAATACCTGTTAGGTTGTTCAGGAGAATTAAACATTTGTAAGGCCATTGGTGACCTGTAACTTCAGATTAAGACAAGTGAACTAATGTTATATGTAGCTTTGGGGCTTTAGGAGTTAGCCTATTTATTTAAGTTTACATTTAAAAAACGTTATTTTAGTTTAGTTTTAGTCTCACCTCAAAATCACCTCTTTAACTACATGGTACATAGGCTACTTTTATTTTGAAGATTTTACTGGTTGCTTTTCGCTTCCATAAAAGGAATAGACCACGTGACTTCCGTCAGCATAAGTTCAGTCAACTCTGAGTATGTTGAGCCTGATGGAAGCGCGTGCATGGGGATGGAAAAAAGGCATCATCAATGGAGCTCCGATACTACGATTCACCATGGCAACGGGTAAATAAAGGCAGATGCTCCATTTTAATCGGGTGAAGCTAGAACTATGAATGCTGCCAACGCGGACCATGATTGGCTCTAAAACGCAATCATTTACCAGACTGGAATTTCCTTAATGAATGATAAAGTGCTTGAATTCTCCTTCAGCCTGTTATTCATTTTAAATAGCTACGAGCCTGTTTATTCAGCTGTAACCTGACGGGACTAAATGCTGGTGGCAATAACTGAAGATGAAAATATTAATCGAACAGATTCTATCTGTAGTTTAGGCTCCTCATGGACCTGTGATTGTAAAGTGACAGTCCGACTTAGTAGGCCTAGTGATTTTTTTATGTAAAATGTGTCCAGGTTCAAACTGACTGTGAAGTTTTAGACGTCTTTGTTACATTAATAAAATCTTCTCATTTCGTATTTTATGAAATGCTGTCAACACAGATTCAGACTATCAGCAGATAATGAAAAACTATTTGTTTCAGCTGCACCACAGTCATCCTCACTCAGAAATATTCACATCATATCCAGCTGATAACTACGATAGGAATGTTCAATCAGTGCGACTACAATATGAAAGGTTGTTCATTGATCAGTTTTATACAGATTACTTTAAACAGTGATTACTGCAGCACTGTAGCGCACGGTAAGTGTTTTGCCTTAATGTCCACAGAGTCACTGTGTTATAAAGGAGTGTAGTTTATACATTTTATTCTGTGCTGAGTCGATGATAGATTGATCATAAAAGCGGTAATGTTCAAGATCAAGTTTGGGTAAAAAAAAACAACTAATAGCCTATTTAACCGTGATTTCGATGTTTCTAAAGACGTAACTGTGTTCAAATATGTGCTTTGATATCGACAGTCTGATTGAGGAAATGCCAGATAGCTGCTTCAAGCTCCGCAGGAGGGGAGGAGTCAGAGAGAAACTCAGCGTTAGTTGAAGTAAACCTCCTCCCGAGCAGGTTAGGTTCACAGCGTAAGTTGCCGGGGTTACAGACCTAGAGTTTCCCTCATCTCGGGCTCAACTTACTCAGAGTTTTCATTAAACCCGCTTTCTGAAACAGGGCCCAGGTGCCAGTAGAGCAATATCAATATTATTGACAGATATGGTCTAGTTTCACAGCAGTCAGTGGAGCACTTCACTCTCCTTGCTTCAGCCAATCGGTGTATAAGTCATTCAGTGGGGCAGGGTGCAAATGCAAGGATTACAGTTGAAATATAAATACTTTGGCCAATGAATAATCTGGCAAATAACATACCTGTCTTATCTCATTTATGTTTCTGCAGAAAAGAAATATAAAAAAATCATGAGCAGTGAATGTTGAGCAGCTAACAGACAGCTGTGGAGTAAGTTCAGCTACAGTGTCAAAAAGAAACCTAGGAATGTGCAGCAGACAGCACACTTGTAAGTAAACACAAACTCATGGTACAAGAGAGGTAGTCTCCTGCAGGCTTAGTAGCACATTCTTTTAGAAAACCAGGGTGATGCCCTCTTTGACTGGTTTGTTTTCGTAGTAAGAGATGCAACTGAATCCAGGAGACTAGAAAGGGCGGTGTTTAAGTCACTTGATTGATTACAGCTGTTATTCACAAGATTCAACAACCGATAAACATATGAAAGCTGTCAGTCGACATCACAATGAAGAGAATTTTGTCACACTAATTAAACAATATCCTTGACAAACATAACATCTGACTCAGGAACCTCAACATTCTAATCAAATGAATCACAGTTCAGGACTCTTCATTAAGCCTTTAAACTTCAGTACGAAACTTCAGTGTAGGATTCTTCATCTTCTGCTTGTAGTCCTCCTCAAACTGTTCATCCTGGGCCACAGTGAAATGGTTCTTCCAGTCACCAACTTTCCCTTGAGAAGCAGAGAGAATTATTCAGGCGATTTAAAATCAATCAGCGATACATGTTTTTTTTGCCAGTGGACATTTTTTAGTGTACCTTTTCTCATGAAAGGAGACACCTTATGATTCAAAATCTGGACAGTAGAAAGGTTTGTCATTTTGTTTGCTTTCATGTTGTCAAACGTCACTCCATTTGTGACTCTTTCCTTCTCCTCAGCTGAAGGAGACAAACCAAGGAAGGAACAGAGACGGTCTATCTCTCGTCCACAGTCCTGCAGAATATGTAAGAATCTCAGTGTCAGCTTTGTGACAGATAAATTAAAGATACATAGTTATCTTTCTGACCAATTTTATTCTTATTAACACGTCTCTACAACACTGTGCTGTCTTTTGTCCCCTGCAGGGATTGTAAGGGTGAGGTTATAATGATGGTGATTTTAATACTGATGTTTCTAACAAGGATCATGGGATGTACAAAGCCTTTAATATGTTTTGCCAGGTTTTAGATTTACAGCAATTAATACAAGAGCCCACAAGAGTGGCTAAAATGAGTCAAACTATCATTGATCTCATCTTTTGATCACTGATTTCTCAGAGTGGGGTTTTAAACTGTACTATGAGTGACCACACATTAATTTATTGTACAAGGAAAAAGTATAAAGTTGCATTGAAGACACAAAATACAATTAAGATCAGGTCATTAAAAAATATATAGTCATGAGGTCTTTATTGAGGGTTTAAATTCAATGAATTGGCCTTCAGTGTTATGTTTGGATGTTGATGAAGCATGGGAGCAGTTTAAAAATATGTTCTTAAAGGCAGTAGATAAAGTTGCTCCTATAAAAACTATTAGAGTACAAATGAGGTCTGAGCCATGGATGAATGGTGATATTTTAGAAGCAATTAATAAGAAATAAAGCCTTTTCTGTTTTTAGGAAGAGTAAAGAGCAGGATGACTTGGATAATTATAAGAAGCTAAGAAATATAGTGCAAAAGCTGATTAAAACGTGTAAAAGGGATTTTTTTCGTGATAAATTAACTGAACATAAAGGTAACCCAAAGAAACTTGGGCAGTCATTGAAACAAATTGGGTACAGTAAAAGACTCAAGACGAAGACAAATAACATCTTCCTTAACAAATTTTTTACTTTTTTACATCCATAGCTGGAATTTTAACTGAAAAGCTGCCTATAAAACCTAGGTTATGTGATGGTGAGGTCATGTTTAAGTATTATTCTAAGCTTGGAGTGGTAGCAGACTCTTTTGGCCTTTCTATGGTTACACAGGATAAGGTCTTAAAGTTATTGAATGAACTTAAGGGTTCGAAGGCAACTGATCTAGATGAAATACCTGCCAGATTTTTTAAAGATGCTGCAGAATATATTTCTCCATATCTCACTCATATTTTTAATCTTTCAATTATATCAGGTAGAGTTCTGAAAGATCTGAAGCTTGCTAGGGTTGTTCCGCTATATAAAAAAGGGAGCAAATTAGAAGAGACCAGTTTCAATTTTGGGAGTTATATCGAAAGTCTTGGAGAAAATAATACAAGAGCAAATAAATAACTATATTAGTCATTCTGATTTGCAATCTGGTTTCAGAATGTCTTATTCTACGGATACGTGTTTATTATATTTGACAGACTATATAAGAAGAGAGATTGACTTGGGTAAACTCTGTGGCATGGTATTGTTAGACCTCCAGAAAGCATTTGACACCGTGGACCATCAGATTCTGCTAATTAAACTAATAGCCCTAGGTTTTAACAGTAGGGCAGGTGAATGGATTCGATCATACTTGACTGAGAGGCGTCAAAGAGTTCATATTAACAGCACTCTTTCTGAGGCTAGAGAAATAACATGTGGTATGCCGCAGGGTAGTGTCCTGGGTCCATTGCTCTTTCTTTTGTATATAAATGACATGAAATCTGTTTACAATTGTAATCTTTTTCTTTACGCGGACGATTTAGCCTTGGTGTTCTCCCACAATGCTCCCCCTGCTGGTTATGATGTGCCATAATTGACTCATGATGTTTTCTGTTCTATCCTCAAGTCTGGTCTGATTAATGGAAAACCAATGACGAGGGAGTGGGAACCTTGACTCTCCCTCTTTTGTCCACTTTCCAGCCTTGGCAGCAACAGTCGGTGATTGTGACCTGTGTTATGTAATCTTTGTTTTTCTTGCTGTTTTTTGTTCTGATGGGTCTGGTATACTGTTTGGATAGGTTTAATTAATGTTGGTTTAGGGTAAAGGAAAGACTGATCCTATGTGGGCTGGTCTGGATGGCATCCCTTTCTTTTGTTACTTTTGGCCAGCCCATCAGACTTGTTATTCTGTTGTTCAAGTTTGATTTATGGCCTTTTTTATAATTTATTTAATAAACTTAATGATTGTTTTTTGCAACTCCTTGACTATTTTGATTATGTTAAGCCTCTTCTGTAATGAGCTTTTCTGGGGATTTATAACAACGGTCTACTCAAGGTCTATGGTATATTAAACAATATATTGACTTTCTTGTCAAGAGTTAGAGAAATTTCATAGCATAACTGCACAGTAAATATACAGCTGGAGGCAGGATGAGGTTAGCTTAGCTTAAAGACAAGAAACAGGAGGAAACAGCTAGCCTGGCTTCAAATCTTAAAAGAATTTGCCTCTACTAGCACCTCCAATGTTCACAAATTAACACGTTATAACATTTTGTTTAATTTTTAATACATTTTTCTGCTGTCATGATGGCTGCTTCAGTTTGATTAAATTGTATTGCTCATTCTGCCCGCCCCCCCGCAACCCTGTACGCAGGATAAGCAGTTGACGATGGATGGATAGATTCTGCCCGCCTGCTCACTTCCTCCAAGCCCCTGCCTTTCTAAGCAACTTTTCATCCCACCATTCACAACCTCTCCACAAGATGTCAATTTCCAGCCTTTCCCTGTCACCTGATCTTCCCCTGCCCCTCATTTTTAATTTTTCAGAATCATGAAGTGATGGATTGACTCCAGGTCTCAGCTGTTTCCCTTTGTTTCCAGTCATTATGCTATGCTAAGCTAAACTAATTCTTAGTCCCACCTTCATATTTACCGTACAGCCATGAGAGTGGTATAAATCCTATCTAACACAAGAAAGTCAATATGTTAAACTGCTCTTTTCATTTTACATAGCATATTTTTAAGGAACGAACATAGCATATAATGTACATTTACTTAGTTGATGCATTTATCCAAAGCGACTTACAGTAACATCTGTAAACACTAATGACCAGCAGAGGTCAGATACAAAACATTTTCTTTTAAAGAATAAAACACACTGTAAAAACAGTTTCAAAGCTTCCTTGAACATAACACAAACACTCCTTAGCTTACCTCAATCAGGTCTTCATAGAACATGTAGTGAAGGTTTGAATACGTTGGTTTCTTCTCCCACCAGCCGTTCACATGGTCATACCATGACCCAAACACCACTGAAGCCACAGAATAATATATGAGGGGACATTTGGGAGATAAGATGATATTGTGCCTCCTTTTACATTAACACTACTTTGAACTTACTCTTTCCCTCCATGAAATCCTTTAGAAACGTGCTCCAGTCACCTGGTTCTGGCTGGATAATGTTCATGCGGTTAAAATGGAAATAGGACACTGCACTGTCCTTTGCATTACGAGCCACATAGACTATCTACGCAAAGAGAAAACACTCAATTATAATTTATCTGAACTCTGGGGTTCATAACTCACATATTTCACAGACTAATGGCTTTACCCTGCTGTTCTGCTCCCAGAAGGACTTGGGCACAAACTGGACTGGTAGATGAGTTTTAATGAGACGAGGAGTGGTGGGAAGCTGGTCTGCCAAGTCTTTACCTTTGTGAAGAGAAACATTAGTGAGACAAAAAGACTTGTTAACATACCAGAGCCTAGCCTGAGCAGTTGTACAGTACGTTGCTTCTAGAGAACCAGAGTACCAGAGCACTGTTTCAGAAAGCAAGCTTAACAAACTCACTTTCTGAAACAGGGCCCTGATGGCCAAAAACAACTTCAAATGAATGAAAATGTTGCTTTAACTGCTGGATGTCTAAATAGGCAACTGGATTAACTTAAAAGCTGGTATGTAAATGTTGCATTCACATCTTGTTTCTGCTGCCTTCAAGTATCCAAAAACACATCATCCCCCTTTAAGTTGATTTGACGGACTTGACAGCAAACGGTTTCCTATTTACACATCCAGCAGCACCAAACTGATCTGAGGCAACTTGGTTGAGCCTACTGTGACGAGCGCGCGCGCACACACACACACACCGCTCCCTTACCGCCTCAATTAAGCCGCTCATAAACCTCGCTATTATGCATTTTTCTTCTACTGTTTAAGTAGCGCGATCAAGGGTGCACACTTGGTAGTTCTACTCTTCTTTAAGCATACATTTAAACAAACAAACACTTACTATGTGTCGAGATGCATCGCTGCTCTGTTTCCCATCCAGTTTGGCAAAACGGGAGCGTAACATTTCCGTCTTTTAAATAGCATGTTCTCGCGCGCTTTCATGGTCATGTGAACTGCAAAATTATGGTTTTTGGTTGTAGTAATAATTTGTGATGTAAGTAACTTTTCCAGGGGAAGGAAAATGTTGGTGAAGATGGATATAATTATTGTTGAAAATATGTCTAAGTGTAATAGATATAAATCCTTTTCTGAAGGTAGTAAAATCTATTTATTATATTGTGTAAATAATGGTTAAGCCTCGTGGGAGGGGCTACTGTCTTTAAAAGTCGCAGCTTTGGCCTATTTCTGTCTGTGAGGGCAGTCTTGGCCTGGTTACAGAGGAGGTAACTAGTGGTTTTTTGTGTAACTTTATTATTGAGGAAGTTATTAATTTTTTTCAAATAGTTTTTTTGTTTTGTTTTCTTTATGCACGTTTTTTCACTGTTTGCACTTTGGAGGCCGGCATAATAAAAATCACGCCACTATTTTTTGACTACGCCTGTGTTTTTTCCTATTTTGTGGAGTTTGGAAGAGAACCCCGCTACACCTACAGAATCCAGTTTCAGGACTTTGTACAGTCTCTGTAAAATATGAATTTGAGACATAATGAAGAGATAACGACGATCGATCAACGACGATCACCGTTGTTTGTTTGTTTACAGTGTAAAGATCTGTTTGGGCCCATGATTCAACCTGAAGGATGAGAAGGTGCGCTGATCTCCAGAAACGGCACTCTTTCATGAATAGGAATGGACGCCTGGCGCTCTGGAGATGTCTGTCCAAAATACAGAAGATCCAGGATGTAAGAGACCCATGTGGTTCCTGAGATTAAAACACATGAGTACATTGGGTTCAGTGGCCTGAACATAGGGAACATATCACTCCAGGGCATTCATCAACATAAAATTAAACGTAAAAATATGATGCCACAAGTTCCATGCTCTTACTCACACATCCCCACCTGCTTTAGGGTAAGTAGCTATAAGAATGTCATCTGGTCTGGCTTTGAAGTTCTGTACGCTGTCCCAGTTGTCAGTGAAGTATTTGGTCATGGAGACTCCATGGAAGTCAAACAGTGTTGGACGAGGTGGCAGCTCCATCTTCGAAAGTGACTTGGTCTAAAAATCTAAAATAGGTACCTAAATTATATAGCCTAGTCATACTAAACAAATTAGTTAGTAATCACGTGTATAACTGGTTCTTTTCATATTCAATCCCTGGACCGGTAGGATAAATCTGGTTGTGGAAAGTGATCATTCAGCACTTGAATAAAGACAGGTTATGAAAAGCTGCCGGTTTTCCATATGAGGTTCTCTGGGCAAGTCATGGCCCTCCATAAACTACATTACCCAGGGTGCACTATGTGATGCTCACCTGTTCCCGTAAGGTTGCTCATTAATGTCGACCAATCAGAGCCTGTGTGGTGCGGGACATTAAATAGGCTAAAGGTTGACCTGCAGTCTTATATGGCTACAACAAACATTCCAAATGTTGAGATTGTCATGCATGAATGGTTATGATTATTGAGGAGTTAACAAATTAGAAAACAAATTAGAGACTAATCGCAATGTAGAGCATCAGGAAAACAACACACAAAATTAAACTGCTGTAGGCCTATTGACTGGGCTATAATAATACATAATATATAATATACTGTAGGCCTAGGCTATATACTACAGGTCTATATGAAATTATAATGAATACACTACCATTACCCCTAATTGCCACCACAACCACACTGGTTTAATATCAGAAAACGGTTCTATTTGTGAAACAGTTGAATTGTTGAATCTCAACTCATAAGCTGTTAAATGAAATGAAATGTTACAAATAGTCTACTCTATAAACAATCTGTAGGTAGACTATCTAAATAAAGTGTAACCTATAAATATAGGCTATTGATATTATAGCTACTAACAACTTTTTTATTTAATATGATGACGTTTATAGCCTACAATAATTTATAGGCAACAGTCACTCATCCAGGTTGTTGATAGCGCATCTGTTATTTTTCAATTCAGGCACTGGTCATAGGCCTAGCATACTCAAGTCAAAAATAGGAAATTAAAAAACAGACCAAGGACTAAATTAGATTTTAATATTTAAACTGTCTGATTTGTGCTACCAGGACGTCCTGGTTTAACAACTTACTTAGACTACTGTAGACTTCCTGCAACTGGGACAGGAATGTGAACGTTTCAGAACTCATTTTTTGAGAGGTAGGTAATTTAGTGATAGATTTCAGTAGGCATACATGGTAGTCCTACACGGTAGTCCTACACAGCAAAAAAATTAACTGTTAGTTAATTTGGGGAACTTCGTTTTTCAAAATGTAGACATATTAAAACGGAGCCTATGCTGCTGTCCTAGTCTAACTCACTGTATACATGGCAGCATTTTGCTACTTATTTCCTGTTGCGTGGAAGACTTTATCGCTTCACATAAGTTACATGTTTTTAAATACTTTGTTAAAAAAACACATTGATGCTCAAGCTTATAGTTGTTGCATTTTATCACGGAGCGCCATCGCCCAAGTGCAGCCTATTTGCTGCGAAGGTAGGCTGTAGATATCAAGACACAAAGAAGTCAGCAAATTCCTGGTCACACAAATTGGACTCTGAGGAGGACGGTAGAAATACAAAAAAAAACAAGCGGCTATTTTTGTTTCATTTTTTCATTTCGATGTTGGATTCGGTATTTAATGCGAAAAGAACAAAAAATACACGTATTATCTAATCCAGTCTGAATACAATATTATCAAATTGGAACTAGTATTTTCAATAACGACTATGAATTAAGTATGCGGGGTATGTAGACAAACATGCATTAAACAGTTAAAGCGGCTTGTTGCATGAAGCCAGAAAAAAATATAATTACTCTGGTCAGTGAATAATCTGCCAATTACATAGGTTTACATATGTAACCTATAACCCTATCCTGTTCCTTTTTGTGAATATTCAAGTTCAAAGTAGTCTAATGCACACTCACCCTACTGAGCAGGTATTTCCCAAAACAGTGGTTGTGTCTGGATCATGCAAACTGAAGAAGTCAGTTTGTTATGTAATACTCACTCTGCCACCTTCCTGAAATAATGTAGGCGTGTATAGACCTATAGCTACTGGCAGGTGTCATTTTATCAGCTTATCATTCTACAGGTGAACTTGAACTACTGGTATCAGGTTAGAGCTATTATCTAGGCTATGTCCTAGCAAATTCCGGTTATATCTGGTTAAACAGCGTTCCCAAAGATGTCAGTGATACACAAAATAAAAATTTCCGGTAACACTTTCTATGAAGGTCATCGCTATAATGACTTATGCATATATTTATAACAGGATATAATGCGTCCATAAGACATTATAACAGTTGTTATAATCACTTCCAAACATGCATTAGGCGCTATAGCAAAGTTCATAATGTATTATGACCTTTTGATTTAATGTTTTATAAGTAATATTAATACCAGTTTATATCAATGTGCGTCCGACCATGTTCCATAGGGTGAAGTCAGGTAAAGTGGGACACTTTTTGGTAAATTGCCTTTTAAACAGCCTAAATCAGTTAGAATGTATTAAAATTGTATGTATTTTTAAAAAATAGGTTGTTGTGAAGACATCTATGGTGAAATTAAGCCAATTTATTGATTTATTATCAAATTGTTTATCTTTAAACATCATCTGTCACCCTCTTCGGCAAACTGGAAGCAATCAGGTTGAGTTGGACCCTTTGTTAGATAAATAGGGACACAAGTTAAAATTAAACATTAAACACATGAGAAATACTTTTTACAACATTTAATAACACATTAATAGGCATTTTAATATTAACATTTAACAGCATATATAATGTGTTAGTGTACAGTAACTCAAAGAGATATAATTTAGTTAAAAATATTCAACAATGTGTGAAAAAAAAAATCATATTTGCAAGTAGCCTAAAGGCAAAATGTCCTCAGTTTATTAATACTAGGCTATGTAAGTAAGTTATTAAATGCATTTCTGAAACTATTTGGGGCTTTTACCTGATGCCTTTCATCAGCCCTTTAACTTACTTTTGTAATGTCAATTTCATGGTGTTCCATGCCTTGGCTAAAAACCTTACTTTAGGTTCCTGTCCTTTATATTCTTCAACATCCACTGCCATTTTCTCTTCCCTCCACTTGTTGAGTTTTCTTAGCCTGGTTTTTGGTTTTTGGTAGCCTTAGCCTAGTGTATTTAAGAAATTACCAACCATAAATTTGATACTCAGATACATTATTCTTACCAACAACTTTAAAATGTTATCTTTTTTTCATGAAACTGTTGCACTGTGCTTACTAGCATTAGGATTAAAACTGTCCCACTCAACCTGAAATGCCCTGTCCCACTTTGTCTAACACTGTCAGGTTGAGTGGGACAGGGCTGTAAATCTAATTTTCATAAATATTTGATCCAGTTACATCCTTATTGTAATTAATCTCTAATCTACAGACAGTACAAAGACATTTAAAAGCAAAAATGTTATTGTTAAATCATAAGTGACTGAATTATCATCCTTATAATTTTATATAGATTTACACTTGCCAGGTGGTTTACCAGGAGGTCCCAGGAGTCAACCAATTTGAAAAAGAACTACGGGACCACTTCTTTGATGTCACACCAATCACAACCTCTGTTTCATATCCAATAGACATTCAACAACAACACAATAACAATTGTTGTGATTGGCTTACAAAATTAACCCTGTATAGTACTCATAAGCTTAAGTGTCCCACTCAACCTGAATTCACCCTAAACATTATAACCACCGACTCATTATATCCTGTTGTAAATATATGCATAAGTAATTATAGCGATGACCTTCATAGAAAGTGTTACCAAATTTTATATTTGTTTGTCAAATTAGTTTGATCTTTGCATGTACAGAATGGAATAGTAAAGAGGGTGAACAATGCTCTAGCCTTTTTAAATGAATGAAATGATGAATGAAAGTGAATAAGCGTCATAAGCACGAATAATCTACCTCAGATGTGTATCACTTGATTTACTTTGCATTCCATACTACACACCTTGATAGCTGTACAATAGTCGACAGTAACTTCAGTTTGAACAGATTTGCCGCACAATACCCATTAAATTATCTTAACCTTCACCTTTTTCTTGTCATCTTCATTAAACTCTTAAAGAGGTGGTATTATGCTAATTTTCAGGTTCAAAATCCTATTTAGGGGTTGTACCAGAACAGGTTTACATGGATTAATTTTCAAAAAACACCATATTTTTTGTCATACTGCACATTGCTGCAGCTCCTCTTTTCACCCTGTGTTGAAGGCTTCGTTTTATCTATGGAGTGAGACATCTTGTCTCTAAATGATCTTTGTTGGGAGCTGCACATGCACAGTTCCTAGTTAAGGACTACTAGCCAATCAGAAGCAGAGAAGAGCAGGTCTGCGAAAGGCCGGTAACAGCCAATCAGAAGCAGAGAAAAGATGGTAAACAGCATTGATTCAGCTGTAGGCTACATGTTGCCGACCAGCTTGGCAACATGGACTGGAGCAAGAGTTTCAGAGTGGTGAGAGATTAATATGTAACAAAAGTAACTTTCAGCCATAAAGTTTTAACTGAACTCTGTCACTACATCACTGTAACAACTTTATGTCCATTGACTGCTTGGAGGGTAGCTAGTGTTTGGAAGGGAGAGGAGAGGTGTGCTGTAGCTCAGTGTTTTTCCACCAGTGTTTTTGAGGGCGTGTCGGACTAGTCGCTTGGCGATTTTCTTGTGACATCACAAGAAAGGGAAGTAAAGGCTGGACTACAGACAAGTTGTTTTCAGGCAGTTCAGAGCAGAGTTTTCTGTGGGAGATGGGAACTCCCTTTGGGGTGGACTTTAGGCTTTTTCACTTTGCAAACCTAATACATGCACAAAAAAGATATATAACTCAATAAAGGAGAGGGAAAAAGCCAAAAAGCATAATACCGCCTCTTTAAAAATGGTTCTTTCAGTCACCAACCTTCCCTCCATTACCACACAGAACCAGTCAAAATACAATGACATTTTATTCATTGCAAAATTTAGTTTACCAACTTAGGTACTCTGTCCAGAGTACTGATCATCTGACTGCTGTTTTTTCTTTACCACTGTGTTTCTTGTGTTAATATTTACCCTTTCTTCCCCTCTCATTGCAAACCGACTTCTGTCTCTACTGTTATCATACAGTAGGCACAGTTGCAGATTGACCATCCACCTCTCACTGTCCTTTTGGGTTTCATTGACTGTTTGTCACTAGTCTCCTGTTTTTACAGGCATAAAACATGCTCTATGTTACCTTGCCTTTGTGACCAGCAGGTTAAACATACACATCCAATTCAATTAATAGACCCTTTTCACAACATTTTGACCAATAAGAACAGTTAATAATGTTAATGATGGCTGCATTGAGTTTAGGTGAGCCAATGGTGCCATTATTAATGTTATTATTTACACCTGTTTTCCTGCTTTGACAAGTTGAAATGTCTGTTATGAAAAGGGTTTGGATGTATTATAGGAACTGGATACCAGACTCAAAGACAGTGCCTAGTCCCTTCAATGAAAATTACTAAAAGTGTCCAACTGCAGACATCACGTCTGGGAACCCCACGTCTGTGAGCCAATGGGAAGAGAGGCTAACATCACCTGCAACCTGAAGTTGTATTTTTTAGGTAATTTAGCATAATATTTCTTTTAAGATACACCAAGAAGAAATATTAGCTAGTTTATACCTCACAAAAAACATTACATTAACACTATTTTAAGTCTTGAGCAGAGAAATGTGACCATTTTCAAACCTGGTACTTTCATACAGTTTCAGTGGAGTAAAAAGGTGAAAAGAAAGCAGATTGAAAATGTTCAAAAATATTAGTGTTAAATATGTGGGCTAGAAGAATGGAAGGTTAGAGATTGGTTGATAATTATTAAGAAACTGTGGATCAAAGTGCGGTTTATTAAGTAACTAAAACCACAGCAGTCTTAATGGTGGTGCAGAAATCTAGAATTGTGTTCCTATTGTTCATAGTTTTCCCGTGACATCACATTCCAAGGAAAACGCTCCCTTGGAGGGCAAAAAGATGTTATTTTCCGCTGCCTGCCAACCAATAAGCAAGTAATACACTGAGTTTGTTACTTTTTTGCGTTGCCATAATGCTGGATGGTTGTTATGCTTTCGGATTTACTAATCATAGTAGGAGACAAGCCTGGGCTGTGTTAAGTGAGGGATTCCCCAGAAGGTAAAAGTGGGCTAACGTTAAACATTACAGTCTGAATACAATATTATCAAATTGGAACTAGTATTTTCAATAACAACTGTGAATGAGGTATGTAGGCTATGTAGACAAATATGCATTAAACAGTTAAAGTGGCTTGTTGCATGAAGCCAGAACGGCCAAGGGCACATTTCTTAGTAAACCAAGGTGACAACCTCTTTGACTTTCTTGTTTTGGTAGTAAGAGATGCACTTAAATCGAGGAGACTAGAAAGGTTTCAGTCACTGGTACAGGTTTTCAATAGGACCCATGCTGCATTGGGAAGGTGTCACTTTGGGCTCTGGACAATTGTGGCAGCATTTCTCACACATTTTCAAAATTTTTACCGTCGATTAATGGAGAAAATTATCAGCAGATTAATCCATAATGGAAAAAAAGTCATTAATTGCAGTCTGATGCAAAACAGTTTAACAACAACCAACTACAACACTAAAATCCGGAATTTACATTAATGCATGAGTAATAAAAATCTAAAGATATATAAAAGTGATACTCACTGGGGACATTTTTCTTTTATAATATTTTTACAGTGAGGTATTAGTACTTTTACTTAAGTAAAGGATCTGAACACTTAAACTTCAGTACGAAACTTCAGTGTAGGATTCTTCATTTTCTGCTTGTAGTCCTCATCGAACTGTTCATCCTGAGCCACAGTGAAATGGGTCTTCCAGTCACCAACTTTCCCTGGAGAAGCAGGCGATTTAAAATCATTACATGTATTCATTTAGCTGACGCTTTTATCCAAAGCGACTTACAATTGTTTTTTATATCAGAGGTCACATGCCTCTGGAGCATTGAACGCAGGTCTCTCACACCAAAGGCATGCATCTTATCCACTGCTCCATCAGCACCCCAATCAGCATTTAATGTTTTGAGCAGATTATGGTGTAAAGAGAAAAAAACTTAGCAAATAAGACCTTTTTCACTGTACCTTTTCTCATGAAAGGAGACACTTTGTGATTCATAGCTTGGACAGCAGAACAATTTGTCATTTTGTTCGCTTTCATGTTTTCAAATTTCACTTCATTTGTGACTCTTTCCTTCTCCTCAGCTGAAGGAGACAAACCAAGGAAGGAACAGAGACAGTCTATCTCTTGTCCACAGTCCTGCGGAAAATGTAAGAATGTCAGGGTCAGCCTTGTGACAGATAAAATAAAGATACAAAGTTATCTTTCTGACCAATATCCAGACTTTAAAAGGCTATATTATTCTTATTAACACATCTCTATACAACAGTGATGCTCCCCCTGCTGGTTATGATTGACTCATGACACCTTCTGTCCTTTCCTCAAGTGTGGTCTGGTTAAGGAAAAACCAGTGAGGAGGGGCCTGGAACCTTGACTCTTTTGTCCACTTTACAGCCTTGGCAGCAGCAGTGGGTGATTGTGACCTGTGTTATATAGTCCCTTGTTTTTCTTGGTGTGTTTTTGTTTTTTTCTCTCTCTGTGGTGAGAGAGTGCTGAGCAAATATATGCGCTGCGCGCAGCTCTGCCCGATACGATTTTTCCCATAGCCCAGTAAAAAAAGCCGCCTGATCATTGCCTTTATTAAGGCGAGGGTGTGGCATCTGTGACTGAAGTAAAATGAATTACTGATATTGCTGAAGGCTGGCAATACATAATGTGAGCCTACACGCTACAACGTTCCTCACTTTGATAATTTTTCAAGACCAGTAACATGGGTTCTCTGTAATTGTTGACAGTTCAAGACATATGCATATTAGCAGGTTATGGCATAAGAGAGAAAAGGCTTAATAGCCAATGGTAACTTGATCAACATCCTTTATTATTTATTGTAGACAATTCTAATAAAACGCTTACTTCAACAATCCGAAACATGAAATGGTGCTGAAACAGCATTAGATTACAGCAAAGCCAAAATAAAACAAACCAAAAGAAATAAGGAAATTGTGAGAGTCTTATTCAAGAATCATAATGTGCGTCTGTATTGCTAGGATTTTGCTAAATGTGGTCAATAGATTTTATTGTTTGAGAACGTACATCGCTTTAAATGTTGCTGCCGCAAGGAATTGTGGGACGGCATTCTCTCCTTTCCTTTCATAAATGATGGTCCGGTGTACCCTATGCTAAAGGAGATATGAAAGGAAGCATTGAGGCACCTTTCCTTAGCTTTTAGAGAATTTGACCAGCTCTCATCATGGCTGCCACTGAAATACTTCTGGTTCACTTCACTCAGTTAGGAACCTTCCTATCCTTCCTTTCACCCGATCATCACTTGCCAACACACCTGCACCTCAGTTTCCCCAGTCAGCCAACCAGTAATAAACCAGCCCCTTCTGCCTGAACATTAACTAAATCAGCCTGTCTTCTCCTTTTTCCCTGGTCCTTTGGACCCTCTGCTCTAAGCCTGTTTTTTGTCTGCATTTGGATCCTAAATCTTGTGCTTCATACTCAAATCCTGACAGACTGTTTCTTGACTGAGTGCAGCAACTTTCTGGAGTCTCGGCTGCGGTGACTCCAGCAATGAGGACCCAGCGTAAGGTCATTAACATAAGGACTGGAAACAAAAGGTGTTTCCTTTTGTTTCTGTACCATTCTCATGTCTGTATGAGAGTATTAAGAATATGCATGACTGCATATTCTTAATACTACCTTCATATTTACCATACAGACATGAGAATGGTATACACCTTATCTAACGTTCCACAAGAAAGTCAAAATGTTGAACTGCTCTTTTCATTATACAGCATGTTTTCAAGCAACCAACATTACATTTAGTCGCCTATTTTATCCAAAGCGACTTATAGTAACAACTAAAAGTTAATGACCAGATCTGATACAAAGCATTTTCTTTTAATGAATAAAATTTTGTAAAAATATTTTCAAAGCTTCCTTGAACATAACACAAACTCTCCTAAGCTTACCTCAATCAGGTCTTCATACAGCATGTAGTGAAGGTTTGAATACGTCTGTTTCTTCTCCCACCAGCCGTTCACATGGTCATACCACGACCCAAACACCACTGAAGCCAAAGAATATATGAGGAGAGATTTTATAGTTGAGATGACATTGTGCCTCCTTTTTACATTAACACTACTTTGAACTTACTCTTTCCCTCCATGAAATCCTTTAGAAACGTGCTCCAGTCACCTGGTTCTGGATGGATACTGTTCATGCGGCCAAAGTGGAAATAAGACACTACACTGTCCTTTGCATTACGAGCCACATAAACTATCTATGCAAAGAGAAAACACTAAATTATAAACTATCTGCATCATAATTAAGTAGTTCATAACTCACATATTTCACAGACTAATGGCTTTACCCTGCTGTTCTGCTCCCAGAAGGACTTGGGCACAAACTGGACTGGTAGATGAGTTTTAATGAGACGAGGAGTGGTGGGAAGCTGGTCTGCCAAGTCTTTACCTTTGTGAAGAGAAACATCAGTGAGACAAAAAGACTTGTTAACATACCAGAGCCTAGCCTGAGCAGTTGTACAGTACGTTACTTCTGAGACATTTTACTTACATGATAATGAATCAAATGTTAATGTAAAACATGACAATTTGAAAGGGTTAGTGGTGATGAACCTAGTGAGAGTTGCTCCTCTTGGCACTACACAGCGTTGTAATAATTCAGCTCATTGTTTTACTGTTCGGCCCGTAACTGTTTTGTTTCACTCTCATAACGTTTGTGACTGCAGAAAAAAGCGGTTATCAGTGAAAAACTTAAAACCTACTGTTCTACCTGTTCAGCACCAGACAGCAGACAGACCAAGTGAGCAGCTAGCTGGTGATAGCATTTAACAGCTAGAGCTAGATTTCCACAGGAGTTGGTAGAGACCAAAATCAGAGCGCAAAGAGAGTAAATATTGGATTGATTTCACCAGATGGCCAAAAACACTTCAAATGAATGACTGTAACTGCTGGATGTGTAAATCAGAACCAGAATCCACTTTTATTGCCAGTCTTATTGCCAGGTATGTGTACACATACGAGGAATTTGACTCTGGACAATGTTCACGATGTGCTTACTTATACAATAATACAATAAGACAATAATAATCAAACAGGCTACAGTATGGAGAACACACACATAAAATATATTATATATACATACACGCACGCACACAGAGAACAAAAACAGACAGACTGAGAAAATAGTGCAGTAGTGCAATGAACAGAGTGCAAAGGATGCAGGGGAAAATTTATTACACCATTATTGTTATTATTATGTACATGTCGGAGGTGGATGTGATATACAGGTGCACATGCACATACAAGCATACATGTACACAGTGTGATGAGTGCAAAGAACGCTGGAATAAATAAGTATTATTGTGGTGTTATGTACATGAGGTAGGTGGATTTGGTATACAGTACAATACACAATATACAATATGAACAGCTCTGAAATAGAGAATGATGAATATATAGTAAGTGGTAGCCAGTAAAGAGGTGGCAGAGTTACTGGGTTATTGCACAGGAATTGTTCCTGACATTGTGAGTCAGAGTCAGCTGTTCATCAGAGTGATGACTTGTGGCAAGAATCTGTTCTTGAGTCTGTTGGTTTTGGCGTACAGTGCTCTGTAGCGCCTACCAGAGGGGAGAAGCTGGAACAGGTTGTGTCCGGGGTGAGATGGATCTGCAGTGATGTTTCCTGCCCGTTTCCTGACTCTGGAAAAGTCCTGAATGGAGGGCAGGTTGGCACCAATGATTTTTTCTGCAGTCCTGACTGTCCGTTGTAGTCTGTCCCTGTCCTTTTTGGTGGCAGATCTAAACCAGACAGTGATGGAGGTGCAGAGGACAGACTGGATGATGGCTGTGTAAAAGTGGATCAGAAGCTCCTTAGGCAGGATCAGCTTCCTGAGCTGGCGCAGGAAGTGCATCCTGCTGGGCGATTAATCTAACGATTATTTTTTCGATTAGTCGATTAATCTAACGACTGCTGTGTTGTGGTAATAACAAGAACAGACATTAATTAGGCTTCTTTACTTTCAATACTGAGTAATGCAGTATGATAATCAAATGTTTTTCTGCATCAGTGAACACCTGAAAGGACTCACAGACTGTCCAGAGAGTCACAGATCATCTTTGATGTTAGTTTCAGCTGTTTTCTCGCTCATACGTGGCCGTTAAATAAACAGAAAATATGAAACGGCCGATCGTTACATGACTCTGGTTACCATGACAGCAGCGGGACAGATATTACTTTTAACATGAAGGCAATAAACATTTTAACGGACTACGTGTCCTCATGCTGATAATGTGCCGTGCTTGTGTGGCGACAGAAAGTAAACACGATTTGCGGTGCCGCCGTCTAGACAAAGTGCTCCAGGATACTTTTGTTTCATGTGTTGATGCTGCTTCACGTATTTGTGGAAAGCAGCTGTGCTGCAGTGAAGCTGTTTCCAGTTCAGAAAGCTCACGGAGCAGCACGTTGTTGAGTGTCTGTCTGAAATACTCCAAACTTTAGACGGTCAAAGGCGCGGTCTTGTAGCTGGAGCTTGTCCGGGAGAATCCCACACCGGATGCAGCGAAGTGTCGACGTATTGCCCCAGCCCTAGTGTAGAGGAAGAATAGCAGGGGGGAGAGCACGCACCCCTGGGGGCGCCAGTGCTGATAGTCCGGGTGCTGGATGTGATGTTCCCCAGTCTCACCTGCTGACTCCTGTCAGTCAGGAAGTTTGTGATCCACTGACAGATGGAGGCTGACACAGTGAGCTGGGTGAGTTTGGTGCTGAGGACGTCCGGGATGATGGTGTTGAACGCTGAAGTCCACGAACAGGATCCTAGCATATGTCCCTGGAGAGTCGAGGTGTTGCAGGATGTGATGCAGACCCAAGCTGACTGCATCATCCACTGACCTGTTAGCCCTGTAGGCAAACTGCAGGTGGTCCAACAAGGGGCCTGTAATGTCCTTCAGATGGGCCAACAACAGTCTTTCAAAGGACTTCATGACTACAGATGTCAGGGTAATGGGCCTGTAGTCATTTAGTCCAGAGATGGAGGGTTTTTTGGGGACTGGGATGATGGTGGAGCGTTTGAATCAGGAGGGAACTTCACACAGCTCCAGTGATCTGTTGAAGATCTGTGTGAAGATGGGGGCCAGCTGGTCTGCACAGATTTTCAGGCAGGGTGGAGACACACCGTCGGGGCCAGGAGCCTTCCTGGTCTTCTGCCTTTGGAAGAGGTGGCTCACGTCCTCTTCACAGATCTTGAGTGCAGGTGAGGGGTCAGAGAGGGGGGGTGGCAGTGTGTCAGAGGGGAAAGGTGACTGTTTGAAGAAAGTGTGGGTGTGGGGGAGAGGTATGACTGTGGGCTTCTCAAACCTACAATAGAAACCATTCAGCTCGTCAGCCAGTCGTTTAGTACCAGCGGTGTTGGGGGATGGTCTCCTGTAGTTAGTGAGTGTCCACAGGCCTTTCCACACTGATGCAGGGTCGCTGGCTGTGAAGCTGTTTCCTAGCTTTTCAACATAGCATCTCTTTGCTGCTTTGACCTCTTTAGTCAGTGTGTTCCTGGCCTGGTTGTACGGGACTCTGTTCCCACTTCTGAAGGCCTCCACTTTGGTCTGACTAAGCTGCCTGAGTTTCGCTGTGAACCAGGGTTTTTGGTTGTTGTATGTGCGGAAGGTTTTATTCTGCACACACGTCTTCACAAAAGCTGACGTAAGATGCCACAGTGTTGGTTAGTTTGTCCAGGTCAGTGGCTGCAGCCTCAAAAACACTCCAGTCAGTGCAGTCAAAGCAGGCCTGTAACTCCAGCTTTGACTCGTTTTTTTCCATCTTTTCACACTCTTTACAACAGGTTTAGCAGATTTCAGTCTCTGCCTGTATGTTGGGATAAGATGAACCAGACTGCCGCAACGTAAGGTTCAATGCCACACACACACCAGCGATCCACACAGCTTTCTCTTTATTTAAGTTAAAACGTTTCAACATTACTCAGAATGTAAATCCAGATAGGCAAGCAGTATGAAAACCTTACAGCTGTATTTTCCTCTGCTGTTGTTGCTGCAGCGGTCTGTGTGACGGTGGGAGCAGAGTGCTCTGTGAGCGGGCGGCTGGCCGGCCTCGGGAGCCCCTCCCGCAGGTTGCCGCAGGCTTCCCCCACCATCACTTGTGGAGGTCCTCAACTCCGAAAACTTTCAAGCACATTTTTGTTCCGCCATCACTTTTTGTAAAAGTGGATTTAGTGGAGTTTAGTGGATTTAGTGATGAAATTACATTTGAAAACTGTAAAATATAAAACTTTCTGTTGCTGGCCTCTGTCTGGCACGCGCAATGATGATGCAGTGAATAGTGACGATTCTCTCTGACCAATCAGCGGTCTGCTATGTTTTCACGTCACATTTTAGTATGGCCTCAGCTCGCTTGAAACCTCGACGGAGGTGTTACGAAAAAAAAAGTACCTGGAAGCAGGTACAGGTACAACTTATCCACAATGGAAAACCAAACAAAGGCGAGTCGAGGCAAGCTGGTACTATGCAGTGGAAAAGGGGCTTATGTGTCCCCGGTGGGACACTAATATGGAAGTTCGTGGCTGAGGTTTGCTCTGTTGAAGTTCCCAAGAACAATGAGCACGGAGTCTGGGTGTTTTTCCTCCACGTTAGTTATCTGGTCGGCCAGGTGTAGTAACGCCTCACTAACACAGGCCTGAGGTGGAATGTAAACAGCGACCAGGACAATAGAGGAAAACTCCCGCAGTGAATGAATAGGTTTACAGTTTATGAATAATGTCTCTCAGTGAGGGCTGCATGATTTCTTCAACACTGTGACATCTGTACACCAACCTTCGTTTATGTAGAGACAGAGTCTGCCTCCCCTTGTTTTACACATGAGCTCCGTTACCCGGAAAATTGCACTGTCCGGGATGTGCAGTGTGAGCCAGGATTCGGTAAAACAGAGGGCGGCAGATCTGCAGAAGTCCGAGTTAGTTCTGTTGAAGAGCAGCAGTTTGTCCATTTTGTTGGCCAGAGAGCGACATTCGCCAGGTGGATCGCCTTCCCCTTCTGAGTTTCCGAAGGATCCCAAACAGAACTGTCCTCCAACTAATAACTCTGGGAAAGTTCCAGGTTCGACCAGGAGCGGTGTAATAGTGTTAGCAGTTGAAAGTCCGATGTTTAAGAGCTCTTCTGGTAACTTTTACCAGAGAGGGACGGCAGAAAACAGAGTTACTAAACAAAAACACAAAAAGCACTGCGGAGCGTAATCCAGAGGCTGCCATCTTGCGCGGCGCCACACCAGCAACTGCGAATAAACAACTGTTTGCTAAAAGGATAAACTTAAGAAAAAAGCTGATATGTAAATATTGTGTTTACAAAATGATTCTGCTGCCTTTAAGTGGCCAAAACACAATATCACCCTTTAAGTTGTTTTGGCGGACTTCACAGCAAACAGCTGCTGATTTACACATCCAGCAGCATCCTGTCACCCAAACTGATCTGAGGCAAATCAGCTGATCCTACAGAATCCCCTTTCAGGACATTGTACAGTGTTATTTTACAGTGTAAAATAAATCTGACTCACTATGGTTATACACACACAACAAACATAATGAAGGGATTATGGAGGAAAAACAACAGTGTTGTTTTCTGTTTGTTTGTTTACAGTGTAAAGATCTGATTGGGCCCATGAGTCAACCTGAGAGTTGAGAAGGTACGCTTTTCTCCAGAAACGGCACTCTTTCATGAATAGGAATGGACGCCTGGCGCTCTGGAGATGTCTGCCCAAAATACAGAAGATCCAGGATGTAAGAGACCCATGTGGTTCCTGAGATTAAAACACATGAGTACATTGAGCCTGAACATAGGCAACATATCAATCCAGGCTATTCATCAACTTAACATTACAGTATAACTATGCCAATTCCATATTCTTACTCACACACCCCCACCTGCTTTAGGGTAAGTAGCTATAAGAATATCATCTGGTCTGGCTTTGAAGTTCTGCAAAATGTCCCAGTTGTCAGTGAAGTATTTGATCATGGAGACTCCATGGAAGTCAAACAGTGTTGGACGAGGTGGCAGCTCCATCTTCGACACAAAACAAATAGTTCAAAACATAGTTCGTTATGTTGGAAATCACGTTGAATTTGTGTCCATTTATCATTTTTTCTTTTCATAGGCCTATTCAAAAGTGAATTGAAAATCGCGACACACCCGCTCTCCAGACTGTTCAGCTAATTTAGACAGTGTGGCAGTGTGACAGTTTAAGTGGTGGCTAGATTAACTGGTGATAGTCCCAGATGTGTCGTACACGTGACTTAAGGATCCATTGACTGCTAACCAGGAACGTTCTGATTTACTTTGTTTATCTACATAATAGGCCTAGGGGAAAGCTGGGACGATTGAAATGTGGGACGAATGAAACAAGGCAAATTTCTCCGAGTCCATACAAGTCTGATTTGATATCTAAAATACCTAAGCACATACAGTGCAGAGTACTAACCAGAACCGCGAAAAATCAGGTGGATATGTCACTTTTTCACGGAGTTATAGGCCTACAGAAGAAGCTGTTTTCAATCACATTAAGTAAATTCACTCAAGCGGTCTCTTTTTTTTAATTCTGTTTACTGTTTCATGTGCTATGGTCATGGTCATATGACAGACAGATTAGTTAGTATTTTAACACATCCTTTATTTTTAATTGTCAATGTTTTACAGTTTAGAAGTTAGTGAAGTTTAAAAGTCATGAGACAGGTAGCCATTCTACCCTATTTAGATACTGAGTCCACTTTTACAAGATGCCACATGCCACATGCCAGCTGTAACACACACGTGAGTTGTTGATCACAACAACAAATTACTTTGCCTATGTCTGTAATGTTATCTTTTAAAATCACGTAAATCTGAAAAGTGTTTCAATCGTCATGTAGATATGCTTCTGAATGTAGTTTGTAGGCTACGTTTTTAGCTGCACGGTGATTCACAGGGACCTCTCCCACCTGCGAAATAGTTAAAAGCGAGGACTTTGAGCGTGAACATGGAGGTGATTGTGTCGCTGTTCAAAACACTGCAAAACGTTAATAAACCGTCAAAATCTTTATATTGTCCGTCTGATTTTTTGGTACGGTCGGTTAAAAAGTGTTACTTACTTAAGGGAAACAGGCTGAGTTGTTTGACGCTTTGATTCACCGCAAAGTGGGGACCGCTGTTAGCTGTGGTAGAGCTCCCAGATAAACCTGTGATAAAGCTTCGTATCACCCATCAGGGGCGTTCCTAGACTCTTGAAGATTTAGGGGGCTTAGCCCAGCTCAGAAATCTTTCATGTTTTCACCCACTCCCAGTCAATGACCTCTACTTGTATCAACCCACAAAAAAAAAAAAAAAAGATATGCACAGCTCTATCAACTGTGTCACTTTCTTTGGCTACCTTGTTATGCCATTTGGCAGACTGAACCTTATACCTATCTATAAATCATTGAGCTACATTTTAATTATTAAATATCATAGGCCATATAAATACTTTTAATGTGATTTTTATAATTACTAATGATAACTTATAATATTATTTTTTTGCACTAATTTATTGAGGAAATGTTTTTATTTAGGCTATAAGAAAGGAAACACAGAATCCAGGCAACAGGTAACAATTCAAAATATAAAAATATATCCGCGAGCGGCAATGATCGGGATCCAAGCAAGTCGCGAAAAATGCAACATTTGATATTTTCAGAGGAGAAGAACAGACGCAGACGACTTAAGAGGTTAAAGTAATGACAGAATTTGGACTTTGAGATAACAGGGGAAACGCAAACTTGAATTTTACAGCATCACCTTGAGATCAGAGTGTGTCATTATATGTACCTGACTACTGGGTGAAATGTTCAACCCACCTGCAATATTTTGTGTTTCCAAGATTTAAAGTTTAAGCTGCATAAACTCTTAGCAGAGAAAAATATGTAGAAAGTGCTAGGGATCCAAATAAAATAAAGACCTTAGACTAACTATGATCTGAACATCCCAAATGTCAGCAGCTCTGACTGACCCGGGGATTTGAACCTGGTAGATATCCAGAGCAGGTGACTGAGCTGCTAATGAGCGGCTGTTTTCATACACCTCACAAATTGAGGTATGATTCTTACAACAGTCAAGATGCTGGTCAGAAAATTCTGAAATAAATTACACATCATTCAGTTGATTTTGGGTGTGTTGTTAATTAAAGTTATCAGGTTCAACTGTGTGAAACACAGTAATCAGATTACTCTCTAGTTATTAGTTTACACTGTGTGAAACACCATAATCAGATTACTCTTTAGTTATCAGGTAACATTGTGTTAAACACAGTAATCAGATTACTCTTTATTTATCAGGTAACATTGTGTTAAACACAGTAATCAGATTACTCTCTAGTTATTAGTTTACACTGTGTGAAAACTAATAACCAGATTACTCTTTAGTTATCAGTTTACACTGTGTGAAACACAGTAATCAGATTACTCTTTAGTTATCAGTTTACACTGTTAAACGCAGTAATCAGATTACTCTTTAGTTATCAGTTTACACTGTGTTAAACACAGTAATCAGATTACTCTTTAGTTATCAGTTTACACTGTGTTAAACACAGTAATCAGATTACTCTTTAGTTATCAGTTTACACTGTGTTAAACGCAGTAATTAGATTACTCTTTAGTTATCAGTTTACACTGTGTGAAACACAGTAATCAGATTACTCTTTAGTTATCAGTTTACACTGTGTTAAACACAGTAATCAGATTACTCTTTAGTTATCAGTTTACACTGTGTTAAACACAGTAATCAGATTACTCTTTAGTTATCAGTTTACACTGTGTTAAACGCAGTAATCAGATTACTCTTTAGTTATCAGTTTACACTGTGTTAAATGCAGTAATCAGATTACTCTGTCTAAGTTAGCTTAGCACAAACACTGGCAATGGGGAAACATTCTTTCTAGTGGCAACAAAAGCACAAAAAACGACTTTTCAATTTAGATTCAGTTGGTGTACAGACAACAGATAAATACAGTATAACATGGTAATTAGTGAGCTGTAGAGGTGCTGGTAGGCGAATTTTGTTGGACCATGTTAGCTGCTTCTAGTCTTTGTATTAAGCTAACTGGCTGTAGCCAAAATTGACAGATACAAGAGTAGTATCGATCCTCTTATCTAACTTTCCATCACAAAGTGAATAAGCATGTTTCTGAAATTGTCAAACTTTAAGTTGTGAGAAGATATGTTTTTCTAATTCCTGCATTCTCTACACATACAGTCTGTTATTTTAGCAGAGATAATCTACCTTAGACATGTATAGTCACTTGATTTACTTTGCACTTCATTGCATGTACACCAGAAAAATGCAACAGGTTGGATACATACTCCACACCCTGGTTGTCACATCAGAGACAACGGTGACTTAAATTTTAAACAGATTTGCCACACAATCTAACCCATTAAATTATCTTCACATAGCCTACAATTAGGTCCCGTACAAATTGCAGTGTGGAAGATAAGTGTGGGCTCAAACGTTACATTCATTGTTTTACCATTGGTGTGAGAGACCCAGTTTCAATTCCCACTGTGACATGTCCACCAATGTGTACCTGAGCAAGACACTCAACCTCTGACATATATAGCAATTGTAAGTCAAGTACTGAACCCCACTGTGCATAATTTGAAAATAATCTGAGAACATACACTACCTTGTCCATATTACTGATAGTCCTCTGACTGCTGTTTCCTGGTTGTATTTTTCTCTTATACCAGTGTGTTTGTTGTGTTAATAGTAAATCTTTACCCTTCCTCCCCTCTCATTGCAAACCGACCTCTGTCTCTACTGTGATCTGTGATTTGACCGTCCAGCCCCTCACTGTCCTTTTGGGTTTCATTGGTCATTTGCCTCTATTCTCCTGTTCTTTACAGGCATAAAACATGCTCTGTGTTACCTTGCCTTTGTGACTGGCAGATTAAATATACACACCCACTTTACCAGCAATTCAATTAATATACCCCTTTTCACCACAATGCAAGTCAAAGCACGAGAAGCACAAGTAGATTTTATAACGTTGTGATGGCTGCATTCGGTTTAGGGGAGCCAGTCTCAGAACTCTGGTTTTCTGGTACCCACTGACACAGCTCACTAGGACATGCAATGGTGCCATTGTTAATGTTATAATTTACACCTGTGCTTTTCCTGCTTTGACAAGTCGAAATGTCTGTTGTGAAAAGGGTTTAGATGTATTATAGGAGCCGAACACCAGACTCAAAGATGGTGCCTAGTCACTTCAATGAAGATTTCCAAGAGTGCAATTTTAGCTTCTCCAACAGGCTAACATCACATGTAACAACCACCTTGTATGTTTTAGGTAATTTAACATAATATTTCTTTTAAGACTCACAAAGAAGGAATATTAGCTATTATATAAATCATCACCTTAATACTGTTTAAAGTCTTGAGCAGAGAAATGTGACCGTTTTTTAAACCTGGTAAAAATTAAACAAGATTTTAAAAATGGCCGTTAATGGAAGTTTGAAAATGTTGACGTAACATTGTTACCAGAAACACCTTGCTCTTTCAGATAAGACTTTAACCATGTGAGAACCAGGCCAGAGACCAAATGGATTTTTCAGTTGGTCTAGTAGGCCTAAAGCCACAATCCATAGAAGGCAAGGCAAGTTTATTTGTACAGCACATTTCAACAACAAGGTCATTCAGAGTGCTTTACATAAAACATAGAAGCAACAGGGAAATATAAAAAAAGTTGTAAAAGATTTAAATAGAAAATAAAAACAGGCGGGTCTCTCACCATTGCTTATTTTACTCCTTTGATTCCCCATCTCTCACTCTATCCTTTTTTTTAACACTTTTTTTTTTCTCTAACCCATATTCCTTACATACAGTCTCATAGAAGCACTGAGGTGAAATCCCAATCCATGGAACATTCACCAATTTCATGCAGTTTCAGTGGAGTGAAAAGAAAAGAAAAGAAAGAAGTTTTAAAATGTTCAAAAAGATTAGTGTAAAATATGTGTACTAGAAGTCGTAGTACTTTGTAGCACTTTTTAAAAGGTTAGAGAGGATAATTATTAATAGACCAAGGATCAAAGTGCTGTTTCTTTAGTAACTATAATCACAGCAGTCTTAAAGGTAGTGCAGAAATCTAGGATTGTGTTTCAAAGTTTCTATTGTTTCTGATTAAGTGAGCGAAATCTCTACTTTAGCAGTGAGCAGAGCAGCAGGCCCGGCTCCAGGATGAAGCGACTGAGGGGGCAGTTAAAAGTGGCGTAATTAATTTTGACAGTGACACCTCTTAACAAAAGTGGGTGGTAGCCTATATAGCCTAGGCTACGTTGGTGGTTATAGACTGGGAGGGCAGCAGGGTGCAAACTACGGGGGAGCTTAGCATGATTTGTGATATTTCAAGGTGTCAACATGCAGCATTATTGACGTTAATCTCTATATTTTTCTATCATCATGGATCATGTGGAGCGACAGAGCAGTTGCTCTGCGATCCGGTCCGCCCCACTCCCTCTCTGGTACGGGTTGTGTCGCTAGTATAAATGACACGCTGTGAACGGTTGTAGCAAAATGGCTACATACGATAATAACATTTATTATTATTATTATTATTATTATTATTATTATTATTATTATTATTATTATTATTATTATTTTAAGACAAACAAGCCTGATACTTGTTAGCAGCTATTAATTATTTATTTCCAAGAGACTGATTACAGCTGTTATTTACAAGTTTCAACAAGGGATCAACATATGAAAGTGTTATGAAAGTCAACATCAGTGTTCAGTCAACAATGAGAATTTCTTTTTACTTCACTGCATTTATTTGACAGCTTCAGTTAGTTACTTTACAAAGAAAGATTTTTACACGCAAAACATATAAAGAGTTAAAAAAAATATAACGTTTTTTAATAAATTAAAGACCTAACAGTTTATACAAGGACAGGTAGTACGTTCATTGATTGACAGACATGTAGCCACGTTTATGTAATTTTTCCTGTATAATCAGATAAAAATATTTGCTTTTCTTTTGGATTATTTTAATGTATTTTTAATCTTTGAAGGTTTGAACTGACAAAACAAGCGTTGTGAAGGTGTCACTTTGGGCTCTGTTGTGACAACATTTCTCACTATTTCCAAAAAGTTTACAATCAATTAATGGAGAAAATTATCAGCAGATTTTTTTTTTGCATCACACTGCAATTAATAACTTTTTTCAATGAAAAAGGTCAATAATTGCTTTTACATTAATGCTTGAATAATAATAATCTAATGATTTATAATAGTGTCAGTCCTGGGGGCATTTTGCTTTTAATACTTTAAGTACATTTTCCTGATTATACTTACATACTTTTATAATGTAACATTTTCAGTACTTTTACTTGTAACTGAGTATTTTTACAGTGAGGTATAACTACTTTTACTTAAGTAAAGGATCTGAACACTTAAACTTCAGTACGAAACTTCAGTGTAGGATTCTTCATCTTCTGCTTGTAGTCCTCCTCAAACTGTTCATCCTGGGCCACAGTGAAATGGTTCTTCCAGTCACCAACTTTCCCTGGAGAAGCAGAGAGAATTATTCAGGCGATTTAAAATCAATCAGCGATACATGGTTTGAGCAGATTATGGTGTAAAGAGAAAAAAACAGAGCAAGTAGACATTTTTCACTGTACCTTTTCTCATGAAAGGAGACACCTTTTGATTCATAACTTGGGAAGTGGAATAGTTTGTCATTTTGTTTGCTTTCATGTTGTCAAACGTCACTCCGTTTGTGACTCTTTCCGTCTCCTCAGCTGAAGGAGACAAACCAAGGAAGGAACAGAGACGGTCTATCTCTCGTCCACAGTCCTGCAGAAAATGTAAGAATCTCAGCATCAGCCTTTGTGACAATTAAAATAACTATACATAGTCATCTTTCTGAATGACTTTCAGACTTACAAAGGCTATTATTGTTATTGACACATCTCTATACAACAGTGATGCGCCTCCTGCTGGTTATGGTGTTCACATGGTTGACTCATTCTGTCCTTTCCTCAAGTCTGATCTGATTAAGGAAAAGCCAATCACGAGGGCAGCTACCGTGGCTGATGCAGCACAAAAGGTGTCTCTTCTGAGACAGCAGAGAGTAGCCCGTCAAGAAATGAGGTTTCTTTAGGTATATTTATTAGGAAATTATATTTATTTAATTATTCTTTAAAACCATATGTTATTGTGACTTAGCCACTGACAGATAACATGGAAAATGTAAGCCAAGAGTGTATAACACTGTCACTGTTTCTGCACCACAGTCCATTATAAACCACATATTAGATGTAGTTTATACAGACACTGACAAGGGAAACACATTAATTCTCTCTGTGATAATGGACCATCGCCAAAACTGCGCGCCAGCAATAATATCTGGCCCGCAGTCAGATTATAGTGCTTTGATGGCAGCAAAAATAAATAAATAAATACTTTGATAGCGGTGCTGAAATATATCTCAGTCATGACAGCAACAGTTACTCACATAATCACTTCCTCTTTAGTGGATTTGCCTACAAAATAAAAGCGTGAGACGCTTGTTTACTGCAATGCTGTATTTGGAGTTGAACTTTTTTTTTTACTTTGAAAAATTCTGAACGACATTAAAAAAGTCTGATGCCTAATTGACACACCTCTAAAAGAGCCTTCAGAAAACGTGATTCCCCTGAATGTCCTCTGCCTGGAGATACTGGGGAAATGCAAAAGCATCTGTAGTTTGATGGATGTGGATCAAACACCGAAACACAAACACTGCAGCCTACATGCCATAATGTGAGAAACATTCACTGCAGAATCCATTTGTTGAAGAGAGAAAAAAAAACTTACGCCAAGGTGGGATCAAATACTCAACACTTGGGTTGCAAGTCTCATATACCTTACCAATTAAGATAACCAAACATGTTGATGTTCTCATCCATCTAACAGTTGAAAATATTGCCCCGATGCAAAACTTATTTGCCGACCCCTGCTGTATATTTTTACTTCATCTTCTTCTAACGTACGTATTCAATATAGTGATGAGTGTAACATATTCATATCTGTACAGTACATGTGAAGCTGGAGCAAGGAGGCAGTTAGCTTAGTTTAGCATAAAGACAGGAAACAGGAGGAATCTGTTAGCCTGACTCTGTCCAAAGGTATAAATATTTTCCTCTACTAGCACCTCCCAATGCTCATAAATGAACACACGTAATATAATTTTGTTTAATTTGTACAAAATCTAAAATGTATAAAGAACAAACCACTGCTTCAATTTTATTTAATTGTATTGCTCATTCTGCTTGTCAGCTCACTTCCTCCAAGCCCCTGCCTTTCTAAGCAACCTTTCATCCCACCATTCACAACCTCTCTACAAGATGTCAGAGTTTCCTTCCTTTCCATGTCACCAGCTCTTCACCTGCCAACACACCTGGCACTCATTTTCCCTATTCCTTCAGACCCTCTGCTCTAAGCCTGAGTTTTGTCATTATGTCCATTTAATTCACTGCTTTACAAGTCTGCCTCTTTGTCTGCATTTGGATCCTTAATCTTGTGCTTCATACTCAAATCCTGACAATCATGGTTTAACAGGTGGTTAAGTGCCAGACTGTTTCTTGGCCAAGTGCAGCAGCTTCCTTGAGTCTTGGCTGCGGTGACTCCAGCAATGAAGACCCTGCTTTTTCCCCTTAATTCCAGTCCTTGTGCTAAGCTAAGCTAACCATATTCTTAATACTAACTTCATATTTACATACAGATATGAGAGTGGTATACATCTTATCTAACTTTCCAGAAGAAAGTCAAAATGTTAAACAACTTTTTTCATTATACAGCATGTTTTATAAGCAACCAACATTACATTTATTCATTATTTAGTTGACTCTGTCATCCAAAGCAACTTACAGTAACAACTGTAAACATTAATGACCAGCAGATGAATGAATAAAACTTCGTAAAAACATTTTCAAAGCTCCCTTGAAAACAACACAAACACTCCTTAGCTTACCTCAATCAGGTCTTCATAGAACATATAGTGAACGTTTGAATACGTCTGTTTCTTCTCCCACCAGCCATTCACATGGTCATACCACGACCCAAACACCACTGAAGCCACAGAATAATATATGAGGGGACATTTGGGACATGATATGACATTGTGCCTTCTTTTACATTAACACTACTTTGAACTTACTCTTTCCCTCCATGAAATCCTTTAGAAACGTGCTCCAGTCACCTGGTTCTGGATGGATACTGTTCATGCGGCCAAAGTGGAAGTAAGACACTACACTGTCCTTTGCATTACGAGCCACATAAACTATCTATGCAAAGAGAAAACACTAATAATTAATAATTAAGTGGTTCATAACTCACATATTTCACAGACTAATGGCTTTACCCTGCTGTTCTGCTCCCAGAAGGACTTGGGCACAAACTGGACTGGTAGATGAGTTTTAATGAGACGAGGAGTGGTGGGAAGCTGGTCTGCCAAGTCTTTACCTTTGTGAAGAGAAACATTAGTGAGACAGAAAGACTTGTTAACATACCAGAGAATAGCCACAGCATTGTAATGATTCAGCTCATTGTTTTACTGTTCGGCCCGTAAATGTTTTGTTTCACTCTCGTAGTGTTTTTAACTACAGAAAAAAGCTGTTATCAGTGAAAAATGTAACTGAAACTAAACATACTGTTCTACCTGCTCAGCACCAGACAGCAGACAGACAAATTTAGCAGCTAGCTGGTGATAGCATTTAACAGCTAAAGAGCTAGATTTTATCAGGATTTGGTAGAGACCAAAAACGGAGCAAAAAGAGAGTAAATATTGGATTGATTTCACCAGATGGCCAAAAACACTTAAAATGAATGACTCTGTAACTGCTGGATGTGTAAATAAGCAACTGTTTGCTAAAAGGATGAACTTGAAAGCTGATATATAAATGTTGTGTTAAAAAATTATTCCGCTGCCTTCAAGTGGCCAAAACACATTATGACCCTTTACACTTGACTGATAGCAAAGAGCTGCTGATTTACACATCCAGCAGCACACTTTCACCAAAACTCTGAGGCAAACTGGTTGATCAGGACTTTGTACAGTGTCTGTAAAATAAATTTAAGTCACTGTGGTTATAAACACTCAACAACCATAATGAAGGGTTTATGGACGAAATGACCAGTGTTGTTTTCTGTTTGTTTGTTTACAGTGTAAAGATCTGTTTAGACCCATGATTCAACCTGAGGGTCGAGAAGGTGTGCTGATCTCCAGAAACGGCACTCTTTCATGAATAGGAATGGACGCCTGGCGCTCTGGAGATGTCTGGCCAAAATACAGAAGATCCAGGATGTAAGAGACCCATGTTGTTCCTGAGATTAAAACACATGAATACATTGTGCCTGAACATAGGCAACATATCAATCCAGGCCATTCATCAACATAAAGTATAACTGTAATGGCACAAGTTCCATGCTCTTACTCACACATCCCCACCTGCTTTAGGGTAAGTAGCTATAAGAATATCATCTGGTCTGGCTTTGAAGTTCTGTACGCTGTCCCAGTTGTCAGTGAAGTATTTAACCATGGAGACTCCATGGAAGTCAAACAGTGTTGGACGAGGTGGCAGCTCCATCTGCGATAGTGACTCAGTCTAAATCTAAAATAGGTACCAAAATGACATTTTGAATATTATATGAACACAAACAAACTAGACCTAGTTCGTGATCATCTTGGAAATCATCTTGAATTCGTGTCAGGTTATCATTCTTTTCATAGGCCTATTCAAGAGTGAATTAAAAATTGCGACACACCTGCTCTCCGGACTGTTCAGCTCTCATTTAGACTGTGTAACCTGTGGCGGCGGCGGCCAATGAGGGGGTGGGGTCGGCAGCGGTGTATATCGTATTTGTATTGACAGTAAGTTATTCTATGTCATTTTCCACCTTCTGCAGTGGTGCGTTCACTGTCGCTCCCTAAATTAAGATTTCGACTGTGTCCACCTAACGTAATAGCAGACAACATCTCTCTCTGTGTTTCCCTGCAGAATATTAAAGTGGGTTGTCAAATATACTTTGGCAGGTGCTAACATACCTGGCCGGCCCACAAATTAGGCCTAAGTAGCCTATATGTAGAAAACACTGTATTTAAAGTAAGTGCAAGCTGTAGGCCTATAATTTGTAAATAGGATATTAGGCCTTCAACCAAGTTTATTGTCTTCCAACTGCGTGTGTCACGTGATTATTTTGGTCCAGTTATGATTGAGTGATCATGCCTGAACCTTCGACTACTTTAATTAACCCAAGAAGGAATATACTACTACTACTACTAATAATAATAATAATAATAACCCCCAAAAAACATTTGTCTCTTGTGCACCATCACTACTCACAAGCTTCAATTTTCTGCCGATTCATAGCCCTACATAAACTACATTGCCCAGGGTGCCACTCAGCTTTTCCCATTCTCCCTATCTATTTATGCGGAGACAGAGTAGGGAGAACGTCGGGTGCCTTTCCCTGACAATATTCAAAGTTTCATAAATTTTCATTAAATAATAGTTGACGTGCTACAACAAAGTCTCAAAATTATGAACTTATTGTTATACATTAACGGTTATGATTATTGAGGAGCTAGTAGGCTAGTTAACATTAATGATATTAAAGACTAACCACAATGTAGACCATTTTTCTTGCACAACCCAGGAAAACAACCCACAAAAATGAAATTGCTGTATTGTCCAACTGGAATTACTATTAGTGGTAAACTATATACTTTAGACCTATAGGTCTAATGACATTATAATGAATACTCAAACATTAGTCAAACTACAGTGATGTAATATCAGAATCGGGTTTATTTGTGATTAATGGTGGTTAATTGTTGAATCTCATGTTACATGTTTGTCATGTTTGTCATGAAATGTTACAAATACTCTATAAACAATCTGGCAGAGTATCCAAATGAAGTGTAACCTATATTTAATATTATACTAACATTAAACGTTTTTATTTAATGTTATAATATTATAGCCTAATAATACAGACATTTTTTAACTACTAGCCTACTTACTTATCCAGGTTGTGGATAGTGCATCTTTTTTTCCCCACTTCGAGCACTGGTTATGCTCAAGTCAAAAATAGGAAATTAAAAAACAGACCGTTGTCTGAATTTGATTTTTATGTTTAAAGTGTCCGATTTGTCTCACAAGAAAGTTGCTGACTTCTTTGTGTCTTGCATTTGATAAACATGCAGCACTTGGGCAATGGGGCTATACATGATTTAATTTAATGAATGAACATCAACATGAGTGTTTTTATCACCACAATATTTTGGGAAAGAAGAAACGAGGCTGAATTTGAAGCACACAGTTTAACTCACTGTATAGGCTATGGGACAGGAATTGGAAGCTTCAGAAGTTGCCTGAGAATCATCCATTTTTCAAGATTTCTTCAGTATCAAAATCTTCATTGGTACACAAAAATTATTAGTTATTACTTAATTTTGTGAACTTTATTTTCCAAAAATGTAAACAAACGTAAAACGGGATTGCCCACATTCTAACTTACTGTATCCCTGGCAGCAGCTTCCTGTTTCGTGTAAGAGTTTCTCTCTAAACAGAACCGAAGACCTGTAACTTGACATGTTTAAAAATACTTTGCAAAAAAACATATTCATGTTCAAGCTCATTTTCGTTACATCAAACCAGGGAGCGCCATTGCACAGCTTTATGTGCTGCAAAGGCAGGCAAAAGTTATCAAGACACACACACACATAAATTCAGCAACTTCCTGGTCACAAAAATTGGACACAATAAATCAGATCGAAAGATCGAAAATACAAAAAACAAGTGATTATCATTTCTGTATTGAAAATGACAACAAATGATGATACACAGATTATATAATCCAGTGTGGATACAAAATGATCACATTGGAACTAGTATTTACAATAGTAGCCAGTGCAATAGGATAAAGTCAGTAATTTTTGTGTTTTTTGCATTTAAGAGAAATATGACAATACAGACTATACAAAGATTTACTTGGGCCTTACGTATACAGATTAAGTTTTGAAAACCAATGATTAAGAGGCTTCTTTGCCTTTCTGGTTCACTCCTGTCAACTCAAATAGTCTCCAGATTGTGAATAAGGTACACAGTTAGACAAACTTGTATTAAACTTTTAAACTATTAAGTGGCTAGTTATATGTTTGCTGTGAATAACCTGACCTAACTTTAGAAGCATGAAGCCAGAAAAATGTTTTTACTCTGGTAAATTAATATCTGTAACCCTACTAGGTTCCCTTTTGTGAATAATCGTGTTCAAAGGAGCTTGCACACTCACCCTGTTGAGTAGATATTTCCCAAAACAATGATTGTTTCCTGATCATGCACACTGAAGAAGTCAGTTTGGTTGTTGTGTAATACTCACTGTGACACCTTCCTGAAATAATGTAGGCGTGTATAGCTACTGTTGGCATGTGTCATTTCACATCAGCTTATAATTTTACAGCTGAACGTGAACCACTGGTATCAGGTTAGAAGTATAATCTATGTCCTGACAAATTCAGGTTATACCATTTACATTTACTCATTTAGCTGACTTACAATCCACTTACAATTGCAATGTACTGTAAGTGTTACACAAAATTAAAATGTTCTATTTATTTGTAATTATTGTTATAGGGTTGATCTTTGCACGCACATAATGGAATAGTAAACAGAGTGAATAATTCAGAGATAGCCACTTCCAGTCTATGTGGTAAGCTAACTGGCTGCAGCCTTTTTAATTGATAGATACAAGAGTGGTATTGATCTTCTCTTCTAAGTTTCTAAGTTTTCCTACGAGTAAGTTGTGAGAGGATTTTTTTGTGTGTATTTTCTACACACACAGCCTCTTATTTTAGCATGTCTACTCACTTGATCAGCAATTCAATTAATATACCCTTTTCACTACAATTCAACCAGTCAAAGCAGGAGAAGCACAAGTGGATTTTGTAACGTTAATGATGGCTGCATTCAATTTAGGGTAGCCAGTCCCAGGGCTCTGGTATTCTGGTACCCACTGACACAGCTCACTAGGACACTTAATGCAGTGGTGCCATTGTTAATGTTATAAATTACACCCGTGCTTTTCCTACTTTGACAAGTCAAATGTCTGTTGTGAATAGGGTTTGGATGTATTATAGGAACCAGATACCAGACTCAAGGATGGTGCCTAGTCACTTCAGTGAAAATTGTCCAACTGCAGACTGTGAGCCAATGGGACGAGAGCAGGGTCCCCAGACATGAGGTGTGTCATGCTACAATCTGTCTGTGAAAATTCTCAGTCATCCAGGTCATAGTTATCCAACGAAGGTTAAAGTCTAGGGCAACTGGACTTGGTTGAAGATACTGGAAGACGTTTCATCTCTCATCCAAGGGACTTCTTCAGTTCTGACTGACTATAGGGAAACTCAGTTATTTAACCTCAGTGGGGTTATTTTCCGGGATCGTCGATACCACTGGTTCGTTAGTGTTCCTGGTTGTTGTAATGTCGTTATGGTCGTTAGGACTACCGGAGGCCAAGACTGAACAACCATCGTTGGTATCTTTACCTGAAGCCAATAGGTTACGTTTGTTAAGTTTCCTGGGAAGTGATGAAAGGACAGCATTGTAAGTGGGGGATAAGTGGTGGCGTAGACCCCCTCCCCTGTTCAATGACGACTTCTCAACCCGGGTGTAGATGGCTTCCTTGATACTTCTTTCAAACCATCCATCTTCTCAGTCTAAAATGTGCACCTGGTGGTCCTTAAACGAGTGTCCCCTGTCCTTCAGATGTAAGTAGACAGCAGAGTCTTGACCTGAGGAGTTGGCCCTTCTGTGTTGAGCTATGTGTTTGTGTAGTGGTTGTTTAGTCTCCCCAATATAGAGGTCTGTGCATTCCTCACTGCATTGGACCGCATACACTAGATTGCTTTTCTTGTGTTTTGGTGTGCGGTCTTTGGGGTGTACCAGTATCTGTCTTAGTGTGTTCTTGGGTTTAAAAAACACAGGGATGTTATGTTTGTTGAAAATCCTCCTGAGTTTCTCTGATACTCCAGACACGTATGGAATCACAATGTTGTTGCGTTTGACCTTCTTTTCCTCCTCCCCTGTAGTTTTGTTCTTCTTGGATCTTGTGGCTGTTTTCACAAAGGTCCATTTAGGGTATCCACAGGCTGTAAGTGCCCCCTTCAGGTGTTTCTGTTCCTTCTCTCTGGCTTGGGCGCTTGTTGGTATGTTTTCCGCTCTGTGGTGCAGTGTTCTCATGACCCCTAGCTTGTGCTCCAGTGGGTGGTGGGAATCAAAGAGTAGGTATTGGTCTGTGTGTGTGGGTTTTCTGTAAACACCAATCTGCAGGCTCCTGTCCTCTTCAATGTGTACAGCGCAGTGCAGGAAGGCCAAACTGTTGTTGTGGACATCTTCTTGTGTGAACTTGATGTTACTATCCACAGAGATGCTGTGTTCTGTGAAGGCTCGCACTTGGTGGCTTTTAATTCCTAACGACCATAGCGACTGTAACCAGGAACACTAATGAACCAGCGGTATCCACAATCCTGGCAAACGACCCCACTGAGGTTAAATAGCTGAGTTTCCCTACCAGTCAGTAGGCAGGGAGGGAGACAGGCAGGTTCAATCAGGTTAAGTTCAATAAATTTTTTAATAAAATACAGTGACTCAAAATATGCTCTACCTAACAGCTGAGCAGAACAGGTTGCTTTATATACATGAAGTAGGTGGATTTGACGGTATATGTACAGTATGCATTACATGGAGATTTGTAATTGAGCGGCAATATTTACATGTTAAAAAGGATTAGGTTGTTGCATAGGGGTTGTTCCTGACACTATGATGGGCTGTGGGTAGAAACTTTTCCTGTGTCTGGAAGTTTTGGTGTACAGTGCTCTGTAGCACCGACCAGTGGGGAATAGTTGAAACAGGTTGTGTCCTTGGTACGATGGATCGGCAGTGATTTTTCCTGCCTTTTTCCTGACTCTGGACATGTAAAAATCCTGAATGGTGGGCAGGTCTGCACAGATGATTCTTTCAGCAGTCCTAACTGTCCGTCGTAGTTTGTTCCTGTCCTCTTTGGTGGCAGATCCAAACCAGACAGTGATGGATGTACAACACTGAATGATAGCCGTGTAAAATTGGATCAGCAGCTCCTTAGGCAGTTTGACTTTTCTGAACTGGAACCAGAAGTACTGCCCAGCCTGGATGATTGTGACTATGTTGGACGCCCACTTTCGATCCTGGGAGATTGTGGATCCCAGAAATCTGAAGGTTTTTACAGCATGTGTCTATCACACATCACAATACAGCAAAACTTGGTCTTGTTGTGAGGCTCCTCCTGAAGTCCACTGTCATCTACAGTTTTGGGCCTATTAATCTCTAAATTGGTGTCTGACTGCAACTAATATTAATAGTAGAAATGATGTTAAACCCAACAAAGCGGTTTTACGACAAAACGTATCATCAATGATGTGTTTGAACTATATTATATTTTCTATAATATGTACTATATACTAAGTATATATAAGTATATATTGTGATGCCCTGTGGGGTCATGAGTGGGCGTGGTCTATCTCTCTCTCCCTTGTAACTGGAGCAGCCTGTCACCCTGTCTTTTCATTCTGCAGGAAGCTACTGTTGAGACCAGGTCAGACCTCCCTGTGGGCCGGCTCCCCGGTTTCCCCTTCAGCTTGATTTTCTTTGGTTTTGGATTATTGCTTTGTAGTATTTACCTTGTTTTCACCTACTACAACACCTTCACACATATATATTCATGTATCCATCATCCTGTGCACACTCTAGTGAAACCACAGACTACATACCTCATACTTTAATTATGTTAATCCGAAATAACTATTAATTTGGCTTATTTTCGTTAAATAAACATATGTTGTACGTTTACCATGGTGTGTCTCCCTTCTGTTGTGGCCTTCTGAGCCAGGTCATAACAATATATATATATATATATATATATATATATATATATATATATATATTATATAAGTGTTATCAGTCCAATCTTGATGATTATCGCTTTAATATTTGTTTAGGTTTTAATATAAGGAGATATGGTAAAATGCCTAAGGTAGGAGGGGTCATCTTGCCGGCTGTGTCCAGGCCATTAAAAGGCAACTCCACCGATATTACAAATCAACGTCTGTTTACAGGGCTTTGGAAGTATTACTGCACATGTGCAAAAAGTAGTGTAAGGCCATTTTTGGCTCCAAAGTAAACTGCGAGAATTGGGTAAGCATGGACATGGGAAGTGGGGGAGCTGAGGGGGTTTCAGCACCCCCTGAAATCAGGCATGATAAAAAAACTCATAATGACTTTATCCTTTTTTACTAGGACTTATATCTGTGGTATACTACTATTTGTGGTAGGAAAGAGGTTTGACTGTTTTTTATCCATTGTTTATCATGAATGTCTTATTCTATAAAAAAGAACAACCTCATTTCAAGGCAGGTCAGATCTATCACGTGACCACTTTGAGGTGTTCTAGGTAGTTTCGGCCCTGCCCACACACGGGTATTTATTACAACAGCATTTTCTCTGCGTTTTGGCTTTTCGTCCACACACAAACAGTGTTTGAGATCACTGAAAAAGAGCCTTTTTGAAAACACCTGCCAGGGTGAAGAAACTCTGTTTGCAGTGTTGTAAACGGGGTGAGATTTTGGCTTGTGATGTCAGAGTGCGTGCCGTTATCACGTTTATTTACATGGGGCGATATTTTGTGCAATGGTCGAAACAGTCCTCGTTCTAAGATTTGTGTTTTGCTAACTTTATATTTGCGTGTTATATTGAGGAATAACTACATCTAGAGTATACTTAATTTATCGAGCACTTTTTAAAATCCAAGTTACAAAGTGCTTTCACAAGGGCAAATATAAGACACACCCAAAAAAGATAAAACAAGAAACAAGATAAAAACAAGTACAACAGGGTGTGGGATTTGGTTATAGATCTAGAGGATATATTTAATAATGTTTAATCATACAGCACTACTACAGAGAAAGAGAGAGAGAGAGAGAGAGGTCGTATATCAACATAGTGGTTCATTTGATCATGAAGCCTGATGTAACTTTCTATAATTCTCAGATTTATTAATGAAGTGGTTGAACTCCACTGCAGAGACTTGATTCTCGATTACAATATTAACATAGCGTTAGTTCAGTGTTCCTATTATCAAATTAAATGTCTAATGCTTATTTAATACCTATCTAATTAGTGGAGGGAGTTTCCAAGGCCCTTTCATTGCCATTTCCCATTGCCCACCAGATTCCCTTGGACTTTCTCTCCTTTTCACGTCACCTGTCTGCCCCACCCATTTACACACCTGTTCACCTGCTTCTCCAATCAGCCCTGCAGTTACCAGGAGCAGGTTTAAACTGAAAACAATTTGCACCGTTTTGCTACAGTTTCCGGGTTGAGCGACATGTTTCCTCAAAGCGGTGTGCAACAGACTTGTATATAAATGTGTATAGAAACACTTATTTTATGTATGTAGGTACATACATGTAGCTTTATATTCATTGGTAATATACTTAAGTGCTTCTTTTATATGGTTTGTTCTATTTTGTTGTTTATTTTCTATTCTACTTAAATATTGTAATTCCTGATTTGTAAAATGTCTCACATACAGAAGAAAAGAATGTGAATGAGCTATTATTGTTTAATTGCAGATCTAAAAAATATGAAAAACACTTCTGCTGTCACATGCAACTTAATACATTAGGTGCAATTGTTTTACAGAAATGCCACATGTCTAGGCAATCATATACCCATCTCCACATAGCCATGTCCAGTGTTCAAATTTCAGTGCGGAACTGAAGTGTGGGGTCCTTCATCTTCTTCTTGTAGTCTTCATCAAACTGTTCACTCTGCGCCACAGTGAAATGGTTCTTCCAGTCACCAACCTTCCCTGTAGAACCACACAAAAATTTCTTTGGATATCTTTTTTCTTTCTTGTCACGCATTTTATTATTTATTTATCTGGTTACCTTTCCTCATAAAAGGAGAAATTTTGAAATCCATAACTGGGAGCGTAGAATAGTTGGTCATGTCGTCCTTTTTCATATTATCAAACTGCACTCTGTCTGTAATTCTTTGCTTCTCCTCAGCTGTAGGAGACAAACCGAGAAAGTGGCAGAGTTTGTCTATTTCCCGACCAGTATCCTGGGAACACAACAGCCAGATATCATTGTTACATCATTACCAACTAGAGGAGAACTTTGGAAAAGTAACCTGAATGGGAAGATACCCACAAAAACAAATACAATACCTCAGTCAGATCTTCGTAGAACATGTAATGGATTTTTGAATAAGTCTGTTTCTTCTTCCACCAGCCGTTCACATGGTCATACCAGGGTCCATACACAACTGAAGCCACAGAACAATGCATGTAAGCACTTCAGTAGCGTTCAGTAAAAATTGGTGCAGCTCTGTACCAACAAAAAAACCCTACTCTGTTGTTGCAGTTTTTCATACATACTCTTTCCCTCCATGAATTTGTGGATGTAGCTGTTCCAGTCTCCAGGCTCTGGCTGGACCATGTTCATGCGTTCAAAGTGAAAATAAGACACCATGTTGTCTTTGGCATTGCGGGCCACGTAGATCATCTACAAAAGAAGAAAACACTTTTATCTGACAATACATGAGACATAATACATTTCTACACACCTAAGCGTTTGTTGTGGTAACTGGAAATAGATATGCCTCATATTCTGCTGCTTCTGTTTGTCATCATTCAGCTTTTAAATAAAATATCTAGGGCTGGACACGTTAAGCATTATTCTTGCATGACTGTCATCTATCCCTGGCTCAGCTTCCCATGTACTGGACCCTGACTCTGCTTGTACTGATTGTACAGCTACATATGTATGAGAAGAGCATCAGTAATAAATATAACTAATGATAATCCGTTTTCTAATTCTTTCTATGGATAATTGCCTACCCAGTCCTGCACACTGGCCCTGTACCTGTCATTGTTTCTGGTTCCATTATCCTTCTCCTCCTGCTTCTCCTGCTGCTTCTCTACATCATCCTTTTCCAACAGCTCCTCCTCTTCCTTCAACTGTTGTTTGTAATATGGGGCGGCTGTGGCTCATGCGGTAGAGCGGGTTGGCCGTTAATCAGAAGGTCAGCGGTTCAATCGTGTCCGCTCACGACTATATTCGAGGCTTAATGCTTGCTTACGCTGGATGCCATAATGAAGTGGATAGCTACACACGCTGATTAGTATTGGGGAAGATGTCAGTCTTAGGAATGTTCTTAAAATCACAACGTAGTCACTTGGCCCTGCGGCGTTGCTCTTTGCTCTGGTGATCAGACAGGGAGGCAGTGCTCCGCATGTTAAAAGTACACAATACACTAGTTTAGAATGAATTATTTAATTTTGTGCATAACTATGCGATTAATCGCAGAAAAACTTGCGATTAATTGTGATTAAAATTTTGATCACCCAGCACTAGAAATATCCTTAATGCTGCTGAAGTTACTCTGTCCTCTGTTTCAGCATCATGTGATCATATGTTGATGTAATTTAAATAACATGCAAACTACTGACCCTGCAGTTTTGCTCCCAAAAGGACTGTGGCACAAACTGGACTGGAAAATGAGTTTTAATGAGGCGAGGAGAGGTGGGGAGCTTGTCCGCCAGATCTTTTCCTATATGAAGAAGTAAAAATAAAACCTAGTTTCTTGACTGCTGAAGTTTGGTAAACACTTGTTAGAAACACAACACACAATACTAATGAAGATGTTTCAGATACATTGCTAAAGTTTACCAAATAAGTTTAACTTTAAGCAAAAACTAGAAAATCTAGAAAAAGATTAGGTGTTTGTATGATTTGTGTATGTGAAAAATGGTGAGTATGTTTAACCGTCTAATCAACCTGAATCCAAAGATGGGATGGTGAGCTCCAAGAAGGGCACTCTCTCATAGATTGGCATGGATGTCTGACGCTCTGGGGATGTCTGACCAAAATACAGCAGATCAAGGATGTAAGAGACCCAGGTGGTTCCTAAAAGGTAGATGGAGGAAAATTAAAAAGACTGATTTAATCCAAACCCCTCACCTTGATACACACGTTTATTCCACAGCTACAGTAGAAAGTCCATGTTTGCGGGCTGACCTGCTTTGGGGTATGTTGCAATAAGTATATCATCTGGCCTGGCCTGAAAGTTTTGAACGTTCGCCCAGTTGTCTGTGAAATAGTGGACCATTGAGACTCCCTGGAAATCAATCATTTCTGGTCGAGAAGGTAAATTCATCTACAAAAAGGGGGAAAAAAGAAAAAGGAAGATAATTAAAACGTATAAACACATGACCATTGTGTGACACGGTTCAGTAACTTCACTATCAGTTGCAGACAGTGAAGTCAGATTGATCTAAACTTCTACAAAAAGGACAATAGTGTGCTCAAAGATTAAGTATATATTGTTCAAATAGATATAAAGGCTTTTGCATACATTTTTAATACTTTAGTCTACATATACGTTCTTATCCACTCTGCATAACATGTTTAACAAGTTATGAGTCCTACTTAAAGGAAAAACAACTCTTTGAAGACGAGCTGCAGTGATTCATTAATTTAGACTAACCTTGTCCACATCAACTGACATGCTGATCACTGCTGGTTTCTCTGCTGTATTTCTGACACTCTTCTCTTCTCCTGCTGTTGTTTCTGTTCCCAGACAATCCAACTATTCGCCTTCCTCTTTGTTCCCATTACATAACAGGGTTTCGGTTGTAATTCAGTCCTAGATATGAATAAAAGTTCCGGCTCCTCCCTCTCCCTACAGATTTTCATGCTGATTTCCGTAAAGGCTTTAACCCTTCATTGCCCTGTTTTCAGACTGTGACATGTTGTACATTGTGCAATAATATGCACAGGAAAGATGCATTGATATGTCCCAAATAATCCTGACAAACAAGTCTTCCTACTTCCCTTGTTATTTTTAACTGTTACATAGGGGAAACAGTATTTGTTCTGGAACATACTGTGTGCATATTTAAACAATGTTAATCACTTGGGAATTTGTCTTTCTCATTTAAAGTGCCAATGAGGTTATACCACATGGGAAGAAGAACATGTGAAGTTGTTTTTGTTCTCGCAGTGTTTTTCTTGGAGCTACAGCTCTTTTCTGGCAAATTAAAGAAAAGTATGTCCGGGGTACTCCCCTTTCCCCCGTGTTTTATAAGAGTACCTGCCCATTTTCAAAAATTCTTCTCAGTAAGTCTTAGGAGGAAATGAAAACAAAATCCTCACATGAGCACAGTTCTTCTCAGTGAGCACTTAAACCCAAGAGCAATGTGCTGCTGTGGATATGTTTCAGCCTTTCAGGGACGCTTCCATGTTGTGTGTCATGCGACATTTAAAGGAAACTAATCAAATTCGATGTCTGGCATACAAAGTGATCAGGGCGTGATAGAAAACAATTTGACGCAGTGTGTTAGGGGGAGGAACCTTCTTCCAAAACATGTCAACTTTGCTTTTTCATATTAAAATATTCTCCACTACATTTCAACAGAGATTGAAGAAAAGGTGGCAAAAGCAAAGGGGGAAGGAGAGAAAAGGACGTTGGTTTTACAAAATTGAGTCACCATTTCATTGCCAATAGAATTCTAAGAAGAAAATCTAAAACTGGATGTTACGTAGTTAGATGTGTCGTAATAAAGCCATAAAGGCCAGGAATAAAGCATTTAGAGAACTCAAGAAACTTCACTCTCAGGATGCATTGATCCAGAGAGCCCAAGCAATAGTAAGGAGGACAATAAGAATACAAAAACGAACATTTTGGAGGCAGTATTGTAGCACTATTGGAAGGTAAGTACAGCTGTCCGATGTGTGGGGCATGATTAGAAGAATGGGGGGGATTAGAAGAAATTATAGAGAGATACCAGTGTTGAACACCAAGGACAAAATGGCTGTCAATAATTTAGAAAAGGCGGAACTTCTGGCACAAACATTTGAAAGGGTTCATAGTTCATGTAATCTCACAGATGAAGCTGGGCAGTGTAGAGATAAAATCCTGATGGAGAATCCCAAAATAATAGAGAAAAGGGAGGTGTTAGATCCGTTAGATCTACTATGTTTGAGCTAAGAAGAGCAATTACGAGTGCTCGTCAGACCACTCCAGGGAAAGATAGTGTATGTTATGTATTGTTGGCACACATGACACGGTGTTGGGATTGTTTAATAAAGTCTGGGATATTGGCAAACTTCCTTTAGCTTGGAAACAAGCAATAATAGTGCCCATTCCAAAACCAGGAAAAGATCAGTCAGACCCTTCTAGTTACAGACCTATTGCATTACCTTCACATTTATACAAAATTATGGAACGAATGGTCACTGAGCGGTTAACATATTTCCTAGAGATTAAAGAGTGAGAGAGCATTTTGTAGAGAGCAGCTCTACAAAATATATACTGGGCACTCATGAGATCTGTTTTTGACTATGGATGTGTAGCGTACATGTCAGCAGCAGAATCAAACCTTAAGAAGTTGGATGTATTACAAGCTCAGGCCTTGAGAATTTGCAGTGGATGATTCAGAACATCTCCGGTATCAGCAATGCAGGTGGAAATGGGAGAAATGCTGTTGAGAATCAGACAAGTAACGTTAATGCTGGCATACTGGATTAATCTCCAGGGGCAATGTGATTCTCATCCTGCCAAGAGTCTTTTAATAGATTGCTGGGAACACAATGAGACAAATTTCACAAGTTTTGGGTGGATTGGTGATGCAAAGGCAGAAGTCATAGGATTAAGACAATTAGATTACAGCCCTATAGTGTCACTGTCTTCCATTCCTCCCTGGTAATTCCCAACACCAAGTGTAGACCTAAACATACAGCAGGAATTGAAGGATATGTCAAAGAAACTTCCAGAATGCAGCATAGTACAGAATTATTTTGATCTGCATTTTTCAGACTCTGTGTTTATATTCACAGATGGCGCCAAAGATCCTGATACAGGGCGTGCAGGTGCAGCAGTTTATATCCCAGCAAGTGAGTCATATATTAAGAAAAGAATATCAGATCATGTGTCAGTGTATACCACAGAACTGACTGCAATATTACTGGCCCTGTAGTGGATAGAAGAGAGTGAAACAAATAATACTGTTTTTGCATCTGATAGCTTGTCTGCACTTATGAGTATTAAATCTGGCAAATCATCAGTTAGATCCATATCATCAATGACATATTCCTTATATTGTACAGGATGGAGCTAAAGGTTTATCCACATGCTTCCTTTGGGTTCCATGTTGGTGTGGAGGGAAATGAGCAGGTGGATATTCTGGCCAAAGGAACACTCAAAATCAAACATGTAGACCTAAAAACCCCATTAACTAAAGATGAAGCAAAGACATTTATCAGGACCTATGCACAGTCAGTTTGGCAGGAGCATTGGGACCATAGTGAAACTGGATGGCATCTATATAATGTACTGACTAGAGACAGGTTGGTGCTGGGAGGATGGTGGGCTGGAAACCTAGGGAAGAAAATTTAATCACTCGTCTGAGAATAGGACAGACAGGTCTCAACCTTTCGTTATATAAAATAGGCAAGCAAATGTATATATTGTAACCAACCAGAAACACTTGAACATGTTCTCCTTCAGTGTAGGAGATACAATATCAATAGGGAACGCCTCTTTCAGTCATTAAGGAACATAATGTCTCATTCACAGGTCTCTTGGGGAAAACAGCATGCCAGATATATTGTCACACAAATATGTTTGTTCAAGAAACTGAGTTAGATAAAATAATTTACATTTTGTGGGGTGTTTTTTGCTTTCTGTTTGTTTGTGTTCTTGTTTTGGTTATTTATTTATTTATTTATTTTTTGTTTCCTGCTTAATCTCTCGTTCCACACTCCAGTCCAGTTGGTGGCGGTAATGCACCGTTAAACTGGTTTGCCAACCGCCATTAAACCCTAAAGAAGAAGAACGTGGAAAACGTACACAATAAAGATGGCGTCTTCCAGCGAGGCAACGGTGAATGATCCACACGTGGGGAAAAAGAAGAAGGTAACTACGAATAAGTCATAAGTAAGGGGACGTCAATGCAAACGTGTCAAACTTTTCATACCGTCAGCTAAGGCTGACTTTTGCCTTTCAGACTGACAGTAGCATTGGCTGGCCATTTGCTAGCATCAGGCAGCTAACGCAAGTAATTGTAGGAGGGGGGGCTGGAGGAGCTCGAGGAGCTCGAGGTGACCTGGGCACAAACAAATAGACTAAACTCTCTGTCCTCCCCTTAATGTCGCTGCTGCTAACTTGCCACCGTTTGCTCCCCTCTAACAGCCTCCAGCTCGTTACTGGCAGGAGCCAAAAGAGGAGGGGAACGATGAGAACAAAGTGGGGAAAGGAGGAGAACAGACTGAACAGGCTGTGCAGCAGAACAAGCAAAAGATACAGAAATCAAAGAAAAGAAAACAAGGAGGGGTTCAGAGCGATGGAAAGAGATTCATATCAGGGGTAAGAGAAACGAGAATGAAAGGCATTGTTTTGTGACTCAGCATCAAGTTGTCATTTAGACAGGTAGGTCTTCAGAATATCAGTGTTTTAAATACCAATAATACGAGCAATATTAAGATTGTAATTATAAGCAGTGGTGGGACGAGTACTGAACATGTTTACTCAAGTAAAAGTACAATTACTACCATAAAGTAAAACATTTCTTTCCAAGCCTGCTGAAGTACAGGACATGGAAAAAATTGTTGGTACCCTTTTGTAAAAGAAAGGAAAAACCCTCAATGGTCCCTGAAATAACTGACAAAAGTAATCATAAATAAACATTTACTGAAAATTAACTAATGAAAGTCAGATATTGCTTAAAAAAAACAAAAAAAAAACAAATGAAACTGGCCTGGACAAAAATGATGGTATCCCTAGAAAAGATTGGAATTAATTCGACCATAGGGACATGTTAAACTAAGGTGTTTAACATGCATCACAAGTGCCTTCAAACTTGTAATCAGTGAGTGTGCATATTTAAAGGGTGAAAAGTAGTCTCTGAGTTGTTTGGTATCATGGGTGTACGACATAGACATCAGAAAACTAAGGAGAGAGCTGTCAGGAGATAACAAAGATAATTATTGACAAGCATGTTAAAGGTAAAGGCTATAAGATCATCTCCAAGCAGCTTGATGTTCATGTGACTACAGTTGCGCACATTATTCAGAAGTATAAGCTCCACGGGACTGTAGCCAACCTCCCTGGATGTGGAGGAAAATTGATGACAAATTGAAGAGATGGATAATACGAATGGTAACCAAAGAGCCCAGAACAACTTCCACAGACATTAGAGGTGAACTCCAAGGTCAAGACACGTCGGTGTCAGATCTCCCTGCCCGTTGCTGTTTGAGCCAAAGTGGACTTAATGGAAGGCGACCAAGGAGGACATCAAATCATAAAAAAAAGTATATTGACAAGCCACGAACATGTATTTTTCTCTCCCCTAAGGAATGTACTTGCTGATAATCTCTAATTTAGATGTTTCCGTTCAATATAGTTATTTTACTAATTATAGTTTTTCTTTATCTACGTGAAGGTATCAATAAGATAACTTTAAAATACCATACTTGCTGTAGCTCCCTAGCCTACCATTGTTGCCTGTAGAGCTTGCTGTGATATGAAGGGCTCTGCATATATGGTTTGCCTTCTCCAATAGCACAGGCACCCAATACAATACAACCATTCCTAAAAGATAAGCTACATTGTAAAGCTATGAAGATAAGCTTTACAATGCAAAGAATTAC